ATGGGTTGAGTTTGGGAGTTATGGAGTTGCGTTGGGTGTTTGTGTGGTTTGTCGACTTGTAGTTCAGTGTACCTTAATTGAGCTGAAATTGGATGGCACTTTAAGTATGGTACCCGTTAGGTGTCAGTTCAGTTTCCATTGGGTGTCCATTTGGTTGATTAAGGGTTTTAGTTAATTTTGTAGAGACAGTTGTTGCAATTTGGTTGGGCTGAATTTTGGATTGCTGAGCTTAGGCAAGCCTTTGGTTTGATAAGTCACCAGTGTATGAAGATGATGTACATAAATGGCATGAAGTCTGACGAGGGAATTTACCCTGGCTAGATACAATTTGTCAACTTTTATATTTAATGTACATGTAGATGTGAGAGTGCGTTCTCTGGCAACCGCTGTGAGGTCGAGGATGATTGGTCACCATTGGTCATTGCCATGGTAACGGTTGCTGGGATACTCTTCCTGATCCTGGTTGGCCTGTTCATCTCCTGCTGCATTTTCCTAGGCAAACGCCTAGAGGAGAAGAAGGAGCCCAAGTATGCAGGTGATTTGGAGGGACGGGACTCATTTCTCAAAGTGTCTCAGCCTGTGCTTCCCTGGAGATCCTCGTCACCCTCCACTGATGAGCCACCCCATCACCCTAGAGGTAGTCATGTCTCCACAAGCTTTGCTGTACAGTCCATCCGTGTGGATGGTGGTGCTGGCTGCTACAGGCACAGCGGAGATGTGAGTAGAAAAGCTTTAGAATAAAGTTTGTACTCAGAGGAATCGATCGTAACTTCGTCTGACCCACTCTGTGAAAATAAGTCCCAAAGCCATTTGCATTTAATACACAAAGCAGATTTTAAGATGTACGACTTCTTTTGGCATCCTGAGGAAAAAATGGACATTTATGGGTAAGAAATGTTGACGATTCCTGTTGAGTTCCATTAAGCAAGATTCTTTTAAAGGCCAAAAGTGGCTTTGATGACTTGTGACCCATTTTCATACAGTGGGTCACTATTCACTTAAATCCGGGCCTTAAAGGTTTGAGACCTTTGCATCAGTTTACAAGCAGTGTTATTGCTGCACTTTGCTATTTGTATTTCCAAAACATGACTGCTTTTGCTGTTTCAGTTCTACACGTACCACTACTGCAGCTGTTTTCACATGCCACGTTTCTTTCGTTCATCATCACCAACTAGATTCTGTACAGCATATCAAAAGAACTGATCAAAAGTATTGACCTCCATTTAAAAATTTCGTCACCAGTCACGTGAAATTCCCCACTCTGTACATGCACAGCGAAGTTAGCAAGTTGTTGAATCTGATAGCGCAAGATCAGAACAGAGCACAAGCAGCCTTGAGGAATGGTTGCATTCATATTTGCTACTTTCGGCTCTTTCAGGTTCGGAATGGCCAACAGTCCTCTACGTTCATCCGACCTTACATAGTAACAGGCAAAGAAGCTGCCGTGAGTTCAACCACACTTTTGAATTGCTTGTAGATGAAACCAACTCTCTGATGTACCTGATGATTTGATGTCTGATATTATTGACAAGCATTGCTCTAACCGATTGAAATTCAGACTGGCATGAATGTTTTCTCAGTTTTAATATCAACAATGCCAAGTTTTAGTCAAATCCAATTTGATGATGCTTTGATTACAAATGTACAGAATTAGTTATTCTATTGCTTAAATCTGATAATGATTTCAGACATTAAAACCAAAACTAACTTAATATCTCATACAAATTCTGAGAACACATAATTGCCTGAGTTTATAGATGACATGTTTTAACATTGTTTTTTGTCGATTTCTGGCAAAGTCGATGAAGCCAGCTTTTTCAGTTGGCACATGCTCAAACTTGAGACTGTGGTAGCCTTGTTTAACTTATTTTGTTGTCGAAACTTTTAATGCTTCTGAAGTTCTGAATTCCGAGATGGTGTCCATGTTATTGCCCAAAGATCACTAAACATAGCTATTTCCCTGTAAAACTTACATCATGTAGTCAGATATTTCTTTCCAGCCAAAGATATAATTTCAATCGTCTCTAAACTTTTCCGGGAACTGTTCTGGAATCATTTTGAGTAGACATCTGTTCAGTGTTAACTTTCATGGTTTCTGGTTTCTACTATGTTTAACATCTGCGATTCAAAACTAATTGATTTCTAACAGATGTTTGCTTGGATATTGCCTCTGTAAAAGACACAGCTGAAGTTCACTCGCTTTGATTTTTTTTTCAGGAGCACTAATGATAGCCTGCGGCATCATGATATCGATAACTGCTTGGAAGGGTGTATGTTTGGTTAGATGTCGTAGATGTTGGGACAACTCCAGGAAGACACATTGCCACCGACATACAGTTACAGTATTAATATAGTGTATCTGTTGACTCCATTGTAAGCGTCATTAAGCGTCGTTTTCATGTGGTTGTAATGAATGCCAACGGCAAGCAATATTACGAATAGAGGAAAAGAGGCAATATGTGTGGTACTAAATAAGCGAAACGGACATTGTCGCGTGAGTGCCATACCAGAGTGCATGTTTGTATGTGGCTACTCCGGTAGCTTAATGTAGACAATTGTCAGAGTTGAACATTACATGTCCTAGCTTTCCTGAACTGTCTGTGTCCATTTTTGAATCAGTCACGATTAAGCATTTCCATTAAGTATAGTTAGGAAGTGACCATTGATGCTCTCTGCTTCGCTTTCATCAATATTGAAACTAGATTTAACCGGAAGGAGTAACTTGAAACTCATAGGGATGATTTTGTTCTAGCTTTTTAGTGGATAATAAAAGGTTGACTTACGCTTATGGAAAGAAAATGAGTCATGTGGATTAGTATGTAGCATTTCTTGCATATTCTTGGTATTAAATGTACTATTCTTATGTCTTTAGGCCTATGGTTACTTGAGTTTAACGTGTATGTGAATATTGAAACCTGTTTTTACTTCAAATTAGGTATTTTAATGCTGCTTTTTTTGCTGTATATTTTGGTAATTTGTGTTTAATATTCTATTAACATCTATATTTTTATGACTTTGTATAAGAGGTTATTCGTACAAGAAGGAAGTACTTCAGTCACCAAGGACTAAGGTATCGGTAAGCCCCTATTATGTTGTGTTTAAAGGTGCATACTGCACGAGGTAGACGCATGCAATGCCAAGTATTCTGCTGTAATTTGTAAACAGCATCGCTCGTCAATTTTTATGAAGGGAGCAGACTGACCATCAGTTTGGGTGCTAAACGCACCCAAACTTTCTCTCACAAGGTAAAAAATAATTATGGTTGACTTACATTTTCAGTCTGCACCCAATTTTGGGTTGTCAAAAAATTACTTGCTAATTTTTTTTTCACCCGTTGTTTTTTTAAATTGTTCTCTGAAATGAAACTGTGAAGAGGTGCCAGACAATATTAGCTTATGGTGTTCTCTCAAATAAAAGCGGAAAGTGCCAGCTAGCATTTACTTATGATGTTGTTCTTTCAAATACAATCTGGATGAGATACCAAACAGCGTTTACTTTGGAAATTATGCACTTGATGAAAAGGTTACATATGGTAAACAAGCTTAGTGAACAAGGATATCTGGAACTTGCCAGCATTTCACTTTCTGAGCCGTTTTGGTTACAACTTTGGCACTGCCCAATGTCTTAAGAGGATCACCCAACTTAAACGTCACCTACCCATTACAGCGTGTTATTTTGGTAGAAATGCAGAAGCCACATATTTTCTTCGTCATCTGTGGTCTCGACCCTGTCACCACCAGCGCAAAGCAGTGCTTCCACTTCTAAAACTGAATCTTCTTAGAGAGGCAGATTTTTCCCTGAAATTTTCCGAAATTGATTTCCTGTATGGTTTTCCTCCTATAATTGGCATTTGAATTCACTAAGTTGGCAACGAGATGTGTATTTGTTACTTGTTTCCTAAGTTCAAATTGCACCGCCAGGTGACTCTGAAGAGGTTGGCGTCGCGTTTTTTTACGAGTATTTGCCAGTTTACTGAGTCTTGTGGGCGTCTGTCAAGGGTTTCGTCAGATACAGGTCACTGTATGCAGTATCCAACAACACTGGCCGACTTCGAGTTTCAAAGTTAAACCAGTGGTCATAAAGGCAATCTCTATTAAAGGAAACACTCGCGGGGAATAAACAATGTAATTTGGATTATGGCTTGGGAAACAACCCGTGGATGTGAAAGCAAAAGGGAAATGAAAGCTGCGGGCTTGAGTTGATCAAACGGAAGTTGATAAACTCCATAATCACTGTTAAAGAGATTCAGCAAGACGGAGGAGATTATCATCTAGACCAAAACCCTAGTGAGAGTGAGTGTTTTCATTAAGAATAAGTTGTTAAAGAGAAGGGTTTTTAACAAATGCAATTAGAAAGAGCATCGCGACCAACTATCAGCATTGTCTCCAGGAAATAAATAACATTTAACGTCAGCCACATCGTTTTAGCTTTTTCTACTCTAATTCTGATCTTACTAATCATTATTTGTAAATCTATTTTAAGATACAATACATTAGTCATTTGCTTGCTAATGTAACATACGAATCTGATGAGAAGTTATGTGCGTGGCCAAGTTGAAGAAAGACGCTGTCCACAATGATAATAGGGTCCACAGTAGTTTATTCAGAAACACGGACTAATATCTTGAAAGTTTGGTGCTGTTGAAGTTATTAACGAGGAAGACTGAACTGAAAGAAGACTGAAGACGGAATATTTTGAGGGTAATAATACAGTGCAGGCTGCGTGGTAAATTCCTAGACCCGTGGTCAAACTTGCAGTCGTTATAATTGTAGACAAATTGTCTGGAGGAGAGGCATGGATCACAGAGAAATATCTATAAGGTTACAAATCTACCTCAAATGGGAACTTCATCAACGGTCTGAAAAAGACATCAACTGGGTAATTATAGAGTGACAATTTCTGGGCTTACGCTCATATGAGAGCAGTTCCAGTTCCTACATACGCGGATTATCTATTTACTCCTTTTGTCATTTTTTTCAATAAAATGTTTGAAACTATTTCAAAGTTAAGAATGGACGAAACAAGAACAATAAAAACCAACGCCTGCGGTTCAGGGCGTGTATTTTGCAAGTACGGGGGACGGAAATGAAAGAAAACAGTAAAGGCGCCCTCTATAAACTCATGAAGCAAAGAGCGGCAGTGGGGGGGATGGGGCAAGTGGGTCATCGGAGAAAGTGACCTACTCTCAGACCAACAAAATTTAAAAATACTTAAATTGACCAGTTGCATTTAAACAACTTTATTTTTTCAGAAATTGAGCTGAACATAAATTGAAGCTCATGTGAAAATTTTTAACTAGAAAAACAAACTTCAAATCATGATTTAGGATAATAAAATGCTCAAACCAAACAACTCCATACTAAGCTTAACATACCAAAAACAGAAAGGCATAGGAATTTTCTAATATATTTTTCATGAAACTCAGATGCTTCTAACATAATTACAATTGCCAATTTCGGTGTTTTGTTATCAATTTACTCATTCAAACATTCATTTCGTACTCTTTTGGTGTCGAGTTTTAAGGTTTTATAATGTGGTCCACTTCCCCCTGGTGTGGGGCTAGTGGTCCACTTTTGCATGAATTTTTAATGAGTTAATATTCATAAGTTTTATTCATGGTATTGATTTCAGCTGTTTGCTATAAACAAACACGTGTTTTGGTCATGTATTAAGAGTAGTTTTACCCTTTTCCTGGATTATTGTATGTGGTTAGAATCAAGAATGTGCTTAAGTAGTCCAGTAGCCCCACCTTCCACTACACAACGCATCGCATCGTGTCATGCGTCGCGTCGTACTTCAGAAGACATAATACGCGACGCACAACGGTGCGACGCAACGGGCGACGGAAGGAGCGACGTTTAGACACAAAAATGCAACATTTAAGCACACAAAAATACAAGAAGGAAAGGACGTAAGACGGCACGACACGACGCGCGACGCGACACGTCGTGTGTGCACAGACGTCATGATAAGAAGGCGATGGTGCGACGCGACGGCACGATCGCAACGGAGCTGTAGCGTTGTGTTGTTGCGTCGCCTTGGAAGAGGTTAAAGAGTGGCAGAAATGTGTGTCGTAAATTGTACACCATAGTGTTGTGAGCGCCGCTCAGCTGTCATCCATTGAATCCCCGGCAAAAACTGTATCAGGAGGAAAACAATTGGGGTGATATTTTGGTTGTTGGCAATTTGTTATCGTATAATATAAACTACTGTACGTGATAAATATTAACATTGTTTGTTGAACCACGCATGTTCCATTAATTTGGTCTCATCTGTTAATGAAGATTCGCTTCTTTCGAGAACAATACAACTCGGGGAAATGGAGGCCTGACTTTGAACATTGTGAGCCAGTGTTTGAAAGGTAAAAAGTCCATTTTGAAGGAGGGTGATCCGGCTCAATTGAAAATCTATCTTTGCCCTCATAACATTCTCTTTATCTAAAATCCAGCGTTCAAAGCCGAACAATAGGCAAAATGTTGCCATTCTTAGTGGAGGTAATATCTCAAGATTGCCGGAAATTTTTCTAAACGCGAAAACTGATCGCTGCAAATTCCTTATTCCAGCGTCTCGCCCCTCTGAACGTCACGATACGAAAACAAAATGACTTTGGCACATGTTGTGATCATTACACATTGCCCGAGCATCTGCAATCTAAATGGCGCCTGTAATCGCTATATGTATGCGAATGCCTTTCCAGTGTCAATTTCAAAGGGTCCGTTGCACTGTAGGTAATTACAGTTACCTCGGCAAGAAACCATCTAGTGATCCTTCTGGTGTAAAACTAAGACCCGTTTGACCGTAAAAGTCATGCATCAGTGTAACCATGGAGCCATAGCCCGTGGTGTAACCGTGCCTGTCTACCTGTATTTTAAACCAGGAATTTCAGGTTCCCTTTTTGCTGAATACTTAAAAATGCAAGGAGAGCTTGCGAAAAAAACATAAAATGTTTATCACAAAATTTAGCACAAACCTTATTTCTTCCGCTTTAACTTCCGACGCCAGACGAGTTTAAGCAGACACAAAGTCCCAGTTTATAGGATTTGTTCGAGAGCAATTCCATCTGGTGTTCCTTTAAAGCATCAGCCGAATCCGACTGAACCGCAATCGATCCAACCAGATCGGAGGTCGACTCGGAAGAGCACGTCTGTGGCAACAACAGCTAGAGGTAATAAGCTTGAAGGCGTGGTTTATGGTATTATTTCTCTTTTCAAATGTTCATATCCTGCATGCACGTACAGTGGGCCAACACTTTAATTGTTGCTTGTGTACATCCATCGAAGTTTGGAAATAATAACATGCACGCCCACGTTCGCTCAGGTATGTTTTACTTCGAGTTAAAGTGTAGGTGCGGCAGGAACTTGGCCTTAGCCTTGTAAACAATACGGGAAGGATCTCAGCAACCTGCCCAGCCTCTGTGACCCTTCTTATTTCAAGACGCCATATGCGTGACATTGACAAAACATTGAATTGAAACGCAGGTGTTTGTGCTCAGGAACGTCTAACTTGAGAAGGAAACCCACTATTTGTGAAAAGAACCGGTAAAATGACGCAAATACTATATTTAGCCACAAGGTGGTTGCTAGAGAAATAAAATGTTTCCATTTTCGAATAATCTGTTGTCCTTTTTACTTTTTATTCTTAATTTCAGAAGTTTTTGCATATCAACGAAAGAGTGAGTTTTGCAGATCAATAAAATACCGAATATTGAAGACCATGAACTAAATTTTACAATCGATTTCACACAGCAAGATACTTTGTTGGAGTTTCATGATTACATTTCCCGCCGTTCGTAATAAAGCGGGAAATTATTGTCTTGTAAATTCAAATAACACCTAGCGCGATATGGTTCTGATTGGTCAGTAAGCAGGTGTGTAATAAGGACTGTCGGGATGGGAGTTTTAAAGTGTCAATAGATGGTCAATTATAGCCAGCACATCCATAGGCGCACGTTAATTTAAAATAGGCACAGTACAGTTGTTGATATTATAGTAGGCGAGATCCAACACCAGCATGGAGGAGAGCGCTGACAGTTTTTGGATACAGGATTTCGAAACTTTCATCTCCGGTTTTTCCTGGACGTCGCAGCCTCTGATGAAGTGATTCTATTATACAAAATGACATACGATCAGAAGAATACAAGGTGCACTGTTTTGCTCGCTAAATGGTATTACGTATTGTGTTTAAAATCAAAGACAGCATAAGGGAGAAACTGTAAGTTTGGCATTCAGACTAGGGTATACAGACAGAAGTATACAAACAATAATTTCCTTATGGATTTCTTAAAAGGATGTTTCCTTGACTTGACTGTAAAAAGATTTATTTTACATTGAGCAGTTGATGACATTGTTAATTTTCCGTAAGAGAATGCGAGATACCTTGTATAGAGCATAAAACGTTTACAGAACATGCCATAATTTGTAATCATACAGAAGTCGAGGAACTTCAATTCTCGAGCTGAGCTATCGTCAAATTATTAACTGAGATAAGTTTAGAGTGTTTTATAGTGCAAGCAAAGAGAAGACGTTATTTTTGACGCTGTCTACACAGCACCATCTACGTGTTTTACAGTTACTTGCAAAGAACGAATGGCATGTGGTTTGGAGTGGTGAGGAACTTGTACCTGTACGTGTAGATGGCGCCGGCGCTCTTACTGCTGTGGAACATGATGATGTATATACCCGGGCTATGTGCTCGTTGTGAACTTGTGTGCTGTCGTGCATTTCAAAACGGTCTCAATTTCAAAAGTGAAGTCTACTTCTTCTGAACTTAATATTTATTCTGAAGGACTAGATTATGATACGCATAAATGGATGCACATGTGGAAATTCAGGAAGTCAGTGATAAGTTTTTGGTCGCGTTCAGTCAGGAAGAGAAAGAAATCTTACTGAAACCGCCAAAAAATCTAGAACTTCCATGTCAGAAGTTGCTCAAGTCGCAGCCTACTTTTTCAATTGAAAGCGACTGGAAAAACTTCGAATCTTTTGCTTTAGGCCTTAAAAATTCGTGTCAAGCTTCTCTCCACGAAACAAGCTTCAGACCAAAAAATACTGTTTTACTGAAACTAAATACTAAAATACTACATGACAAACTATATCTTTTTAAATTAAAAATTTAATGTGATGTACCGGGTATCTGAAAAGCATAGTCCTGAAAGAAGGAGTGGATGACCAGAAAATCATATATTACCCGATTCCAGTTATTTGGGATGTCCTATTTGATTTAACAAGAAAGGTTCCAGGACACCGATAGCCACAATAAATAGTCATACAGAGTTTACAGGGGGGAACAAATGACGCGAGCTGACGAAACAGGATCAAGACCGGATATCAAATGCATGTAGCTGGTATATTGTAATAACTTTCATCACCGGTACACGTACATAACGTAACGACGTATGTGTTTGAGATTATCAACAAAAAAGGCCTCACAAACAGTGGCGTCAATCTGTGTTGGAAATTGTTGATGGGGAAAGTCGGGGGAATGACTTGCCCGGCCATGGAAATTTCAAAAGTGCGAGGGGGCTACATCGTATATACTTATACAGAGGGCGATGTTCATGATTAAGATGTACATCTATAACGTGTATGACATTAGAATGGTGTAGTTATGGCTTTTAAAAATTACTTTCCTTTTTAGATATATTGGAAACATTTTATTCATTGGGAAATCCTGAAAATTCTTCACAATCTGCTTTAAGTTGTTTGCTCATCACAAAAAGTGTGGGGGGGGGTGATTCAATTGCCCATCCCCCACCTCAAAAAGTGTGGGGGGGGATATACCCCCATCCCCCGAGATTTACGACCATGCTCGCAAAAGAATAGTTGATGCATTAGGGCACACCAGACGGTGGACGTTCTGGATGAGTGATATACCTTCTGACGCCCTCATGCACCTAAATCTGAATATCAGTGCGTTAGTTGTCTCAGTTTCACTGCGTTAATATGTAAAAGGCCCAAAGGATGAGATTGATGAAACCCCAGAAATATTAGTTTGTGACGTCAAAACAAGCGCGAAGAGGCCACAAAACACTCATGGTGCAATGTTTGTAATTTCCGATTCAGCGATTGGCGAGTCAGTATCATTTTGTTGTTTTTAACAGTTCAACATTTAACTCTTTCTATGATCAGTCGACCCGAACCAATATTCCTTTCATGCGGTTTTAATCTCCAGAAAACCAGGTTTACCGCAGCAATCGTCACCCCGGATTCATTACATCATCAACGACCATATAAGAACCAGTGCGCCTCTTTAAGTCTACATTGTGTATGAATCTTTCTATACAGCAAGCTTTGAGGGCGAGTGTTTGTTTTTGCTCTGCAGCACACATACGACAAAACGTTTGGAGACTCTACACTGTCGGTATCGCTGTCTGCCTCCATTACCATACGGATTAAACTGAAAATGAAAGTCTTGACACTCGCCGTGGCCTTCTTGTGCTTCTTGGTTGTGATGGATATGGTCGAGTGTCGTCGCGCGAGAAAACGGAGACGAAAACCTCAGGTAATACAGTCTAGGTCCAGTCACAGATTCAAGTTCTGCTCTGATTTATTAGAAATTGATGGTAGACGTCTTGAAGATTTTAAATGAATGCACGCATCCCACTCACGCAAACAAATATCTGATCATCGTAGACATTTGTTATCTGTGGATTTATAATGTGCAATACACGGGACTTGGCCTGTTCTGTTTGCATCGGTCGAGACAGAGACAGACCACGACAGTGACAGAAATGTGTCGTATCTGGTGTCCGTATTTCCCAGACTGTTTTGTGAGGTGATGCAGAGTTGCTTTCGATGCGTGGAACACGGCATATTCTGAAGAAGTAATGCTTTACGATTTCACTTTTCTTGGCCGTTATCGTTCATGACGACCGGCCACATGTTAAATCTTTCAGAAAGAACAAGTCAATCGTATGCCAATAGTAAAGCGTTTGCACATTTTAAACATGTGACGTGTTGTTCGTTATTCAGCATAAATGAGCGACCATCCTGAGAACAAAAAGATTTCGAAATATTATCCGTGTCTATGATAGTTTCTTGCAGATGGAATAAGTCATGAAACACAGTACACATGTCTGCGATTGCCTAGGCCCAGCCGAGTCGCTGCAGCTGGGGGAATGGAGTGTTGACAGCGTTTATGAGACAACAGAACACATGGCACGATTAAAATTGAAAGAGGTGTCTAGAATGCCTCTTGACCCCACCATGAGGGCTCAGTTTTCGAAATCGAGGAATCGAAACAATTTCATGTAGGTGTACATGTATATGCACGCAACCGATCGAATTTAAACTGCAATCATTCACACTGATTTCTGTTCTTGGTTTCCTCTTTTGTGGGACAGATAGTGTGAACATTCACTCCCTTCGACTGAAACCAGTTTCAGGACGATTTAATATGATATTTTAAAGCCAGTAAGTTGATGTCAATGTTTAAAGTCAGAGTGATTCGATTTGAATCGTCTTGTCTCTAGCTTCACAAATAAGCTGTGTAAATAGGTAGAAAGGTAATTACGAAATTGAAAAAATCACAAAGACAACTTTAGGCTGCCACTGCATTTAACCTGCCAACCCTGGCCGCTTATGGGTTACGTATATTACAAAGGCTGAATATCAAACTTTAGCCTCGAGCAGTATTCAACACTGCATTCCCGGGGCATTCCACATGCACGCACGTGACAATAGTCGTTACTTGCGGTTATCATAGCCTTGCGGCGAATAAGAAAGCTTGATTTAAGGCCGACGGTATGAAACAATATACTCCATAGCTTCCCTCAAACCAAATTAATTTCCGTCTCAGGTTTGTAATTTCCTGTAAATGCAGTGCCAATAGCTTCACCACACTTTAGTTAAAGGTGTTTCAAACACCATACGTAGAACTTGGGTCAAAAAGTACAGTTCTTTGTCAATGAGATGACAAGCGAGGTGAAAAGCATGTCTCTGTCAGAATTTTTGGCTTTCTACTGATAATAGTATTCAAACGACTGTTGTTAAAATCTACTAGGTCCAGTCTTTTGACAGTTTGTTCGATTTATATTCCCTGTTTGACGTGTTGCCATGAAACTCGGACTGGCCTGCGTGAGTTCCAAGTGGTAGGCCCTATACATGTAACTGTTTCTCAACTAGAAACCATTGTGTATTGCGAAAGCCCCATAAAAAGTGATCAGAAAACTAAAACGTGCATAATATGACATGATCAAGAGAATATCTGCAAGTATCTGGCTGTAAGTGTAAAGGAATAAAACATTGAGTAATGAACCCCAAACACCTCTTACAATACTGTTATGGGGTGAGAATTGGGTCAGTAGTTTCGTTTTGTCATGTATTTTTTGTATGTTTACAAATCTTTGTTCCTGTAAGAGCGTCGAATGATGCTCAATCACAGAGCTGTGTTTGAGTGGTAGAATGTCAGCTATCTCGAACATGCCGTTCATCGGAATATCGCATGTCTTCGCACAAGATACATTGTGTGAAAAAAATTGCGCCATACTGAGAAGTCTGAAAATAATAGGCTCTGGGTCTGAGTGCTAGAGGTATAATATCCGCCAGACATTTTGGTCGCTGATTTTGATTCCTGGAAAAAAAGAGAAAAACAAACTTCATGCTCACCACTTCGAATTTGGGCATCATAGGCCCAAGATTAAGTGGCGTACATATCAGGGGGGGGGGAACGGGCAAGTCCCTTCCCCAACATATTGCCCCACATTTTTGAGGAATTGAAAAACTGTAAGTTTACAAACGGTACTACCACACGTACCTTATCTAAAGGGGATTCTTTTATGGGTCAAAAACAGTTCTTGGCTGGAAAATTCCGTTCCCTCCCCAAGACCTGAAGGCCAATACGTCATTGCTAGGAATTATTTAGTTGGTTTGGCTATCCACCTTGAGCAGACGCGCCCCTCGTCGGTTAAAAAGAGCCATGCTGGTCGGAAGTGTTCGTTTTGTTGGAAGTGACGTGCACTTAACGTATGCATCCCATAGTCGTTCGTGAACCAGCGAAGGGAAGTTGCTGCCAAAGGAGCCTCTGTTGCTAGGAAAATTGCACCCTCTCTTGGTCCAGCTCGGGGCCCATAGGTAAAAACCAAAAAGACTCCAGACATGAAATCATTGGTCGCAACGATAAAGTGGAACAGAAACTCGAAATTCGAAGTGATGATCATGACAAGCCACTGAGTTCATCATCTTGATTTAAATTACGTCTGAGGCTCTCTTCAGTACCGAATACCAAAGAGTCATGTGTAGTGTCCCTGTTTGCTTGCTTTTTTGATACCGCTTTTTTGCCAAGGGAAAATTAGATGGAAAAGTTATTGTCACTAAACCCACTGGAAATAAAATACTTGTCCGTCGGAACTTCTGACCCTCTGTCACATTCAGCATCCTGCACAGATTTTGTAATCTCTTAACGAGTGTTAATATGGCCGCGGTCGAATATAATAGCGCGTCTTCTTATGAAAGTGGCTGTGATCTTGATTTCTTGTAAGGCTGTGCTACGTATACGCACTAAGCAGTAAACCACCGGAACTGCTCTCTTGTCCAACAAGTTTATTTCATTACTTAGTGAAAACACCACTGGTTGTTGGAAATTCTTTTAAAAGAAAAAAGAATGACGACAAACAGGAAATTGAAAAGGACCATCATTTTGCTTATCAAGAACCCAGATGATGTGTAACCCATTTTTACTAGACCCGAGATGACATGAAAGCGAATATGGAGACCCCTTTAATCTCGCTCGCCATATTGAATCTTGAATCGGGTTAGTTAGGTACAGTACATGTACATAACGTTGTATTGCTGCCTCTGATATTTTTTCTGTTTCTTTTCTTTCCTTCATCCAGCCAACTGTGCCAACAACGCCATTAATAACAACGCAGAAAAGCACGACATCACCAGGTGTTTCAACTACAGAGGCGATGGTTGCTGGTAAATTACTAACAATTTGATTAAATTCTATTGCACGTTTAGAAAAGGTGTGTGTATTTAATAACGACTATTTATAACACCCCGGCATCCGCCTCGAGAGACGCTCATGGCGCAGTGCAATCAAGAAAAGAAAACTCTACTAAACTAAACATCCGTTTTCTCCTTAGTATGTGTCTGTTGGCCCCCAGTGGATCTCCGGAGGGCTACAGTATGTCTTGAAGTTCAAGAGAGTTAATTTTTATAGAATAGCTATTCTCGTCAGAACCAAAGTTTCGGGGAAATTTTTGGGGGGCGGGAGATTTGGATTTATGATCTTTCTGAGGGATGAGGCTATATTTGGGGCTTTATGCTTTAAATGAAGGGGAGTGAAAGGGACCAACAATTCGCCTTTTTCTTCAGTTTTAGTTTTGGGGGGAGGGGATGGGACACGCCCCCGTTCCTTCCCTTCCCTTAGTTCTTGTGCTGAGTATTCCCATCTTTATAAGCAAACTGTGATGTCATCCCAGGAAGAAAGCCTAAATGCTGCAATGGCTGGTACGCAAAAAAGTCCTGCATTTTTGAAGATTTTGCTGGACTAAATTTGCTCTTCTTTGCTGATTGCAGTTGTTATATATGCATTGCAAGAAGTTAGCACCAATTCTTTTCTCAGAAATGTTTTCGGTTAGTAAATTTTTAAGTGTTTCAAAAAGCGTGCTTTTCAGTGCATTTCACCAAATAGGAGTGTGAAAGAATTCTCATAAACTGAAGAGTACACAGTCTCGTGCGTCTGAGAAAAAAAATCTTTGTGCCTACACTTTAAAGTTCACAAAGTTTGCGTACCTGCCTTATATTTATCCACCAATCCCAGTTTGTCTGCACTATTATAGCATGTAGATTTATCCCTACCATAGTAGATACCACGGATTTTCAAACAAATTGTTCCTTTTATTCTCCTTGTTGCACAGCTGGTGCCTGCCATCGCATATGTGAGGGAGGCTCATTTCTCCAGGAGGATGGCTGCGTTTGTCGTTGCTTAAGGTCTGGCTACCAATACAACGATCAGATTGGAAGATGTGAAGGTATGTCAATATGCGTTGCCAAGAGTTTTTTCCGGGAGACATATCGTGCTGAGCCTTTTCCGGGGGGCGCATAATGATAAACTGTGGGTACATTGCAAGCGCCCCCTGCCGAGCCTCCCCCGCCATACTGATACGCATTAGCGTAGGCATATGCTTGTAAGGTAAACCTGATGTGAAACATATATCGTGGCTGGCGACTTTTACGCTTGTGATAAATTCATAGTTCCGAACCGCAGGTCCTCACCGGAAATATCCGTCTCGTAATGGGTGTCTCAGACGCTCATTATAATGTGAGTTTATGAAATTATTGTTGGGAAAGATATCAGCAGGCATCTACAAACAAAGGCACAATCTAACAAGCCTTTAACCAAAAATAATAACCTTGATGTGTGTGTGGCATTTTAGACATCGACGAGTGTACCGATGAGTTCAACTGCCAAGGCGGTGAATGCACCAACACCGACGGCTCGTATCATTGTGGCTGCCCTCGAGGATACATCCTCCACGCCAATGGAAAACTATGCAAACCGGAACCCCGTGTTATCCGTATGTACCTGTTACTCACTTGAACTTCCTATAGGCCTACTGATATTTTAGCCCCAATGAAAAGCCACGATAGAATAAAGCAAAATGACTACCGGAAAGTAAGCAGTTAGGGTTTTTTTAACACGTCAAAACAGACAGTGAAATCAAGCTACCGCGAAAGCTCACTAGCGCCATTAATGAAGTAAACGTATAGGGCCTACACGATTTCAAAAAATGAAATGTACTTTTTCAAGTTTGTTTGAAATAGATTTTTTTCTTCGAAACTCGTTTTTATGAAATATATTGCAAAATCTTTTTGGATAGATTTATTTTTCAAAGGTCATTTTCACGAGAGACATTTTCTTCAAATTCCTTTTAAAATTCTCATAAAGTGAAGACTTTGAAAAACTCGTCTCATAAAAACTGACTCAAATAAAAATCTCGAAAAAGTTGTTTCTCTCATAAAAACGAAGAGTGCTTATACAACTAGATTTCATAAAAACGTATTTTAATAATTTATTTCGTGAAAACGAGCTTGGACAGAAAATACTTCTTTTTTGAAAAGGTACTCCACAATGGTACAAGTGGGCTCCACAATGGTACTAGTGGGCTCCACAATGGTACTAGTGGGCTCCACGATGGTACTAGTGGGCTCCACAATGGTACTAGTGGGCTCCACGATGGTACTAGTGGGCTCCACAATGGTACTAGTGGGCTCCACGATGGTACTAGTGGGCTCCATAATGGTACTAGTGGGCTCCACAATGGTACTAGTGGGATCCACAATGGTACAAGTGGGCATTCGTAAGTTATACATAATATACATACATAGTTTGGTGAACAAATACGGTCAAGTGTATGGTTCTGAAAGGAATATAGTTGGTAACCTTAGATCAGACTTAGTCAGGAGGAACGCAAGTTTGTTTATCCTAGGATGAATTAAACCCCGTGTTACATGTTAGAGGTATCAACAGGAAAGATTCATCTTGTGGCGCGCCGTGGAAAAGATGATTGTCCAAACCTACATAAACCAACCACAAAGTCGGCATGATGGGTCATCCATCAGCCAGTTTGTTTTCACACGAATCTCGATCTCGATCAGTGATCCCATAGCTTGTTCGCTCCATGTTTGGTGTCAGTGATCCAACGACGGATCACTGGTCGCGATCCGGATCCGCGTGAAACAAACTCATGTAGGTCACCAGCTGGGAATACATATACAAGGAATTTGACTTGCCAAATCGCGGGTAGAATTCGAGAAAGGTTACGTTTATCCAGTATAAAAGTTCATCGGAGTCACTTTTTGTATGGTGAAAACAGTTGACACAGCTAGCCATTCACTCCTCCAAATCATGTCTTTATAGCAATCAATCGCAACTTTTATCAGTTCGTAAATTCGTTTAGAAGCTTAATATTACACATCCAATCCGTAAACATCGTTATGAATCCATGACGGCCTTAAGTGGCAGCAGCAGCCGCCACACCAAGTCAGCCGGGATCAACAACCGAAACCAAGACAAGAAAGGCTACATTTCCAGGAACAAATTCAATATAAATGTAATGAACCACAGGTCTATATACACACTGTGGCAGAAACTTGACCCGAGCGCCTAACCTAGCGTCACGTTGAGTGACACAGTCGCCGAGGCCCAGGCCGTGGCCGCAATAAAAACTTTCAAAATTTGTTATTGTTTCAAAATATCAGTAACACTTTTGTGGGGTTACTGTAAACAGCAAAGTTCAAGAATTGTAACTGCACATATATGAGCAATGAGGCCCTTTTGCATTGCAAGTGTATTGTAATGTAGAATGGGCACAAAGATAGTGAGTTAGTGACTTGGTAGTTCACGCCACAACCGTCAAGGACCAGATTTGGGATGTTTAATGTCGTGATTTCTTTAGAGGCAAAGATACCATAGGGCACAGTGACGTATCTAGTGGAAGGGCATAATTATGACACGTTGCCAATTATTATTATTTCAAGGATTCGTAAGCACCAACCCTATAGAAACGAGACCACCACTTGTCTTTGAGGAATGATTATTCTTTTACAGGTAAAAATGACTGGACATTCTTTTTAGTGGGATCCATTACTCCCCCCGCCTAAGACTGAACACGCCACTGATGACGATCACAAGGCTCACTCATACCACTCCAATAAAACTTCATATTTGTAATTACAACGAGAGGTTGTATTTATGGCGTATTTCTACTCTTGGTTACGGTATTTTGACAAAACACTGCAGGGATGAATGTCTTTCAAAAAATCCACTTCACACAAGAATTTTCTTCTCATGCAAAAAACCGTTGCACCAACCATGCTTTCCTTGTTTATCCTGCCTTTCAAAACGGTGAACAGTGACAATCCGTAATTCTCATCGTAGCAGTGGCCCACCAAGTGACAGTGTTTTGAGCTGGAGGGGACAAATATTAGCTTAAGGGTACTATTTTTGGATGTCCCAAGATAAGTCAAGATAAGATGATAAGTCGTGGTAGGATGATTAATCAAAATACTTTGGAAATGAATGACTTATCTCGGGGACGATAAGTATCATATTCGGAACGCATGAACCAGCTGTACTTCATTTCAGCCAACCAGCAGGTTGATTTATTTTACCTATAAATTATCCCAAAGCTTGCCGAGGGTTGACCTGCTTAAGTGGTGCATCGCTGGACGAAGATACCTGTCGCTGCAAGTGTGACAGGGGACTGGAGTATGACTATTTCTCGGAGGAATGTATCGGTAAACTCTTTTCTGCACTTTTTCTGTTTTGATGCTTTACGGCATTGTAAGGATGGGGTTAATCTTGCGTTGAGCAGATTTGCGTCTGATTGGCACCAGTGGCACACAGGGCGGGTGAGTATGTTTCGCCTTGTGGAGACCCAGGAGAATGGGTTGAATAGGTCTCCACAAGGAATTTCCAAAGGTGTATCTCTCCGCAAGAATTTCACGAAACTCATATTTGAAAATCGCTCAAAAAGGAGAAATTTTTAATTCGTAGGAATCCGTCGCGAATGTTTCATATAAGGGACATTCGGTCGAAATTTCAGTCCAGGGGAGTGATTTGTGTTGAAATGGGAGCATTTTGAAAACATCGTTTCCCACGCGACCGAATAATTAGTACTGGAGAACAAAGCCATGTCTCCGCAAAGATACAAATTTCGGTAAAGGTGTTCTGTGGGGTGTGTGACATAAATATTACTTTCCAGCCTGAGACTGAAGAACCTAGAAGTGAGAACTGTATTCCGGTTCAAGCAACTGCCAAATGGGTCATTCCATAAGGTTGGGGCACAATTTGTGACGGTGTCCTTGTTACATGGGTAACTTGTACCACCTGTCATGACCTGTAGAGTAGGTCATTTTAATACTCTGTAAAAATAACACACACCTCTACAAATCTACACACAGGGAAATAGCTGTTTATTTTTACAGATCCCATGTAACAATTGACACCGTCACAAATTGTGCCTCAACCTCATGGAATGACCCAAATCCATTCAGTACTCCAACCCTACCCCCCCGTTTGAATAAAAAAAAACTGAAAGCGGCTGTTAGAAGAGGCGTGATTACTTCTTTCCACTTGAATAAGCTTGTGAGCTCGCGAATTAGGCCTATGCAAAACCTTCATGTGGCGTTTGTTTTGTGAATGTCGTGTTAGTGGACGTGATGGTGAATATCTTGCTTTTAACATATGACTCATTTCTGAAGTCTTTCTTTCAAACCAATTATAATTTAGTTTGCGGTCATGCTGTGTTTGATCAGTAAACTTAGCTTGGTATTGGTTGTTTTATTTCATATTTAGATATTGACGAATGCGCCCTAGGCTTAGACGAGTGTGGTCAACTTTGCTCCAATAGAATAGGTGGTTACCGTTGCTTTTGTCTTCAGGACTTCAGGCTCAATTATGACGGAGTATCATGTGACCCTGTCGATCCAGGTAGGCATTTTGTTTTTTACATATCGAATGCATACTGTTAAAATTTGGTTCCAGAAAACAAGGTTATCAGTACAATTTTGGTTAGCATATTTGTTTTAGCACCGAAGGCTGGCTGTTGTCAAAAAGCTAACAGAAATTTGAAGATGTTGTGGTCTTGATTTCCTGATTCACGTTACTGGGATAAAAATGAAATCACAGACCATGTTTATGGGATACTCCAAATCCTTTTGTCTGTGTGAACCCCCTAATGGTTAACTATCTCTGCGTGGTTAACAATACGCCATGCAGTGACATATTCACAATTTTTAGATAGCAGCGCCCCACGAAAACGTGTCATTTCTAAGAGATTTCATACATCACTTTGTCGGGAGCATTATTCTACAGGACGCTGTTGCCATCTTTTTCTGCTAATTGTGCAGTCATAATGTTTGGAGTTTGATAGAGATAAGTGTGACAACACCTGATTGCGGTAAGGCCAAAATTCAACTTTATGTGAAAGTTTTAAGTCATCTGCTTTGATCATTAGTCCTTTTCATTGAGTTGTTTTCTGAGAGACATAATATGTTTTCTTTTTCAGATTGCAAGGACAATGCACCATTCTGTTCGGACGTGGCTAGTACTATGGAATGCCTGTATAATGCTGGCATTCGCAGAATGTGTCCAAAGAGCTGCCGTGTTTGTGTGGGCTAAGTTTTATGTTCATGGGAATAAAAATACCAGGGGACCCATGAACTTAATTTATTTTCACCGAAAGGAAGGGGGCAATAAAGGGTCTAACTGTTTAACTATTGCGACTGTTGGACTTTTTTCTGATAATGCATCATGCGTGAGCAAGATATTATAAATACCGTTAACAAAGGGGGCATCATTTTGCCTTCAGAGTCACTCTATCTATAGCTTTATTTCTTATTTCGTTTGAAAAATTAGAGATGCTTCGTAGCTTTAGATATTGCAACAGACGTGATTTTGGCCTCTATTCACTGAGTATTCAGTTTATCATAGAACCCGTATCTCAGAAAGTGTAGTTGATTGACAGCTGCATTCATAGCACAATTTGAAGTGTTTAGCAGTATAAAGATCTTGAAATATGAATAATAATTATTCCATGGTCCAAAAGGTGCCTTTTTCTTGGAACCGGTGTTATCAGTATGATAGTGGCTCGAATATTTCCCCATACTGAATATAAATAAAAATGAAGGTACGCATTCAAGGATTCAATTAAAGCAGCTTCAAATCACATTTTTACAACTAGTAGGCCAGCATTACTTATTTGATAATGCTTGGCAACTAGTTATACAAGTCAGCGCCATTTTTGCCTCACCAGCCTTTCATATTAGAGAACGTTTCTTTCTTTCAGATAGTGTTTTATAGTGCACCCTGTATTCCAAAGTTAAGACGCAATATACGATGTGGCTCAATGAGGACACCGTACTGCTGAGCTCACGTAAATTCAGATAGGGTATAATCACAGCGAGATCATATTCAAGGCCTTAAAATAATCTGGAAAACCGTTTCTCTGGACGGCCTCATAGTGCAAAGCCTAATTAGAGGTTGGACAGAGTAGTCTTTCATAGGCGTAGAGCAAATAAAGGATGATCGGCATTGAGCCATATACGTCGGAAAAACAACCAGTGCTCCCGTCTGTCTATTTAAATGAAAGTAGTAATGTTTGCAGTTGAATTATAATGAAACTCTGATATTTCTAATTTATTTATCAATCTGATCTGTCATGTGATTAGTTTATATAGAATAATTTATTATAACTTATTATACTTATCTGGAAAGCGTCATATAAATAATAGATTTATTTGTGTGATTACTATCATTGTTTCAACGGTAATTCAATGTTGCGTAATGCTTTTTGTTATTTTAATATTTCATCAGTCATTAAAATTGAACACAAAGTAGAAATAGACATTTTTTGTCATTTCTACTCGAAGAACAGCAGCCAGTAAATATTCAAGTATGCCCACATTAATAAGTCCTGAACTGCATCATGAAAAATTTAATTGTGTTCGAGTTATTTTGCTATGACTCAAAGTTACACATGCATCTTTCGAGTACACTCTAGCGGCTGCAGCTCCCCCCCCCAAGACGCGTGTGCTACACCCGGCAATGGCAAACTTCTTCCATCAATACTTCAGCAAGGTGTCAAAGCATCGCTGTATTTCCATTGCAGCTACGTAAAATGCACGTAAAAGCGCTACAATGAGTATTTTATCCTGTATCCGTTTAAGCAGCAACATCAATGCAAAAGCCTAACATTATTCCTACCCATTCTAAATTAGGGTGACATAGAATTCACAGCCAAAAGACTTTAGAATTGACAACCAAAAGCTTAGATCTTTGCCCAGATTAGCTTTTGCAAAGGTTCAAATTCAAATGTTCAAATGTTTAAACAAAATAGACAACTGCCACATTTTTCAAAGGGTATGGGTAATATGAGGCTCAACCGTACATGTACATAATTTCCATACGCGTTGTCTACAGAAGACATGAAAGGCACCAAAGGAAGCAGCGGCCGCCAAACGACCCATATCGGCCCACAGAGAACTGCCTGAGATCTTAAAAATCAATCATATTGGTAATTTCCTATTTCAAAACTTCATTTTGATATAAGAAAAATCCTTTGGGCAATGTTGTTTTGCTCTGGATATACAGTAAGCCAAAGGCTATTTTAATTAACATATTTATTTGTTCATTATTTCCAAATGTTATCTTAGGACCGGTTAATACTTCACGGGAAGGTGAACATAATCGCGGATTTGTAACGTCAGATCAAATATTCGCGCTGTGAATTCGCTAAAATTGAACCCATTTCAACTCGAGAGAAATTTTATTGCAAATCCTTTGTGACGTCCAGTCCACGTCTCTCTCCCATTCGCCTGTAGCATTTGCCTGAACCGGCCTTCACATTTCTCAATTTTCGACGTCAATAAAACGTGTTCAGGTCCATTTTGCTGAATATCCCTTTCAGCGCCAGCCCCTCTCTGTGCTACCCCCCTCCCCTTGAATACCAACCCACAGAGAGAAAAACTATCAGCTAAGGCCGTGTCGGGGCCTCCAGAGCTATGGCTAGGTCTATTGTCTACGCGTCTCCACGCATTTCCAAAGGAGCGAAGACCTAGACCTAGCTCTAGACAAGAGATTTTTTATCGTATGCAGCCTCAATACCACAGCTTGATATGGTCTATGCATACTGCCCTCTACAGATTGTATGGGCATAACCTGACTTTATTATGCAGTGAGTACTAAACCAATATTGACAAAGTGGAGAAGTTGCAACAAACTTAGAGACCAACCTAATCATTATTAGTCTGCCTTTCATGTTTTCACGATTGAATTGCACAAAACGAATATGCTTATTAGTCAACACGAACCGGAGTGTTCAACTCCAAAATGAGATGAGTGGTCTACATTGAAAACAAAATCCAAAATTACCATCATTGGACAGAATGCCAACCCCCCCCCCTTTCATTGTTAGGAGAAAACTCTGCACCGTGCTGGCTCGTTTTACCGCAACAATGAAACGGTGGGGGGGAATTGTAATTCTAGTTAACTGGAATTAAACGCAACAAATATTGGCACATACTTCCAACCAAACTGGCCAATAATACTCTATTTTTTGTACCATGCTGGCTCGTTTCTACCACAACATTGAAATGGGGGAGAAAAATGTGATTTCTGGTCTTCTGGAATAAAAACCAACAAAAATTGGCAACCTGTTTGAGGAATCTTAGGAGTAAAATTTCTCAAAGCATCCAATGACACACATTGGCTTATCACACACCTTACAAATCATGCGGGTTTGCCTTCTCCGAGCTTTGGTACTGCAAACAACACAGTTGCGCTTTATAGTTTTGCCTGGATAATGCTGTACATCTTCTGGCATACAAGGGATGCTCTTGTGCACATGTCCGGCATCTCCACTCTTCCCTACTGACCAGGAGTTCCCACACCACTTGCAAGAAAAATAACTGGAAGATCTGTACTGGCGTGAAGTCTATCCATTCTTCAGAATGTGTTGCTTCAGTGTGGCCTGTGAAAGAAACAAGGAAAACCCATTAGGTTGCTAAGAAACATGTATGGCATTAGGGTTGTACCTACTTCTGCTTGACAAGCACCTGGATTATTCTGGCTGATCTCTAGATGCGTATTATACAAAAAAACAGTTTTCCCAAAACAGCTATTTTTAACGTGTTTGTAAGGAGAAGAAATCACCCTAAACTGTATTTGTTAGGCCACCTGTCACCGTACAGCCTGAAATTTAACGTGACTGGTCAACGCCAGATGAATGAGCCACAAGTCATGATTTCGATTGGACAATACTGGAGCATTTTCACATTTTAGTCGAAGCATAGTCCATGACAAAAAAAACTTGTGAGGTTGGAAGGGATTTCCAAAAATTTCCTTTTCTGCCAACTTTGAAATTTATGAATATCTTCATCTCAAATCAATAATGCAACACTGCCAGACGAGAATGGCATGAATTAAAGAGAAACGGGTCAAGTTGCGCGTTCCCGGCCGGGTGAAGTCGTCCCCGGGTCAAGTCGTCCCCGGGTCAAGTCGTCCCCGTATCAAGTCGTCTGTCCCCCTCCAGTGTTATCTGTGCGTGTAATTTTCTTTTTAGGTACGTCAACCATAAGTAGAAGAAAAGAAAAACAAGACAGAGACTTGTGCATGTATTAATTCATTCACATTATTCATTCGTTTAATTCCGATCATTTTTGTGTGTGAAAATTCCTGCCCAAATCTACGCAGCTAGCAACTTTTGAAATCTACAGTAGCCGAAACGTGCCACACAAGCTATATTTATTGAACGGGTGGGTCCTGGTTTGTGCCAATGTAACAGCATATTCTTCGAATTGTTAAAGCAATTTGAACATCTGTGAATTTCAAATCTTCCAGTAGTCATTTCCAGTTTGTTTGAATAACTTTCTGAAATCAGTAATGCGGATATGAATTTTAGGTTTCTTTAATGACTAGGAAAATGACTGGGTCGATTTAAGAATGTATAGTGAACAAACTCTTGTGGGATTGTATTTAAGTTGCAGTTTGTAACAAAGGTCTTGTAAAATGAAGTTATTGGTAATTGTGGCTCATCAATAGATCAGTTGAGGTATAACTGGGGTTCCACATCTGTGGTGCGTGTGAGCCCTCCAATTCAGCCACAGCCTTTGTCCGAGCGGCAAGGTTCAATCAACATCAGCTGTGTGACTACGTCTCGGCATCATGGCTGCAGCATCCACCTGGAGCACAGCCAACTGCTCCGTGTTTATGCGCAGCATTAGGACGAACAACAATGTAGAGGGCTGTCATCGGCGTCTCAACCGATGGGCAGGATGGAGCAAGAACCACCTGTACCCTATCATCAAGCCCCTTCATCAAGAAGCTTCTCTGGTGATGATGCAGATGCGCCTGGTCAAGGAGTCCAAGTTTCGCATTATACCAGAATCTAAGCATGCATCGTATTTCGAACAGTGAGGTGGGAAATTGTGGAAATGAACGACATCTTCATCAGACTGCTCACCTGTAAATTCGGGTGCTGTCTTCCCATGTTTCCGCCATGAAGGTCCGGCTTTGCTCCACCCTCGCCGATAATGGGGCTTTGCTGCTGCCGAGAAATCATCTTCACCGTCGCCCATACCGCTGGCATCGCTGGAATCGAAGGACGACATGTCGGAGTCGCTATCGGCCAACAATTCTGGTAAAATGTCTTCGTTTTCCATGTTTTGGCCGTAATTGCTCATGTAGTAGCTGTGTGTTACTCAGATGCATGAAAGAAAGTGGCAATGGACCGCGTACGTACCCACGCTGAACTTATATCGCAGCAAAGGATGCCTGCCAACGAGCAACCAATCAGAAGCGGGTGTTCACGTGAGGGCGTCCTTACGCTTTATAGACAACCTGCCGATTAGATTGTCCCTGAATGGCACGTCAGTAGCGAAGAGGTTGCAAATTTCTCGTGCTCATCTGGCACTGTGGGATGCACAGGGGGTGTTTCATTTGTGCCTTTTTGGCACAACGGTACCGAAAGGGATATTTCCATGAGTGACCCCAATATATCACAACAGTGACGTATTTAGCGAATGTTTCATAATTATTAGTAACAGCAGCAGATCAAACGTGGGGTACTCGCTTCCAATAATTTTGTCAGGGTAAAAACATTTTCTTTTTCCCTAATTACGTATTCGCTTGTCCTTAACCGGTTTGGTAATACTTTTGGAACAAACTGCGTGGCAACTACCCCATTATTGCAAATGGTGGATCCGTCGATAGCCAGTCAGGTCTGCCGAATGAGACAAGCACAGAAATGATGGAACAACAAAGTAACAAACAAATGACGCCTGGAATCTGACGCATGCCATATCAATGAACAATTCGGTTTATCCCTATCTCTAGCTCACATCCCCGCCGTCAAAAACCGCATCAGCTGTATCACGGCTTACAGATCCAACTATTTCATCAAAGACAAATGCAGCAATTCTTCTTACGGGTCACATATCCAAAGTTCAGACTTCACGTATAGCACCTTGTTGCGAGGAAGTTTGTTGTGGAAGGAGGATTTATATCATCAGGGATAACTATACCTCGATTGTCCATGTTACCAATCTGGAATCCAAAGACCTCCCAGTTTAGTACTCAAAAATTAATTTAGGAATCACTTGAAAATATAAGGAGAAGGCCTTTGTGATCTGCATTTCCACGCGCGGTGCCGTAAATTCGCACCTGTGTGTGTGTGTGGGGGTTGCTCCTGAAATTGTCCAGGGGTATATTTTTTATAAAAACAACTGAGTGCGGATACACCAGTCATGTGCATTCCTTATGTAGAAAAATGGTTTTAAAGTCAGTCTCAACAGACAGGAGACTATCAATGTCTCGTGGCAGCTTCCCGTGTTGACTTCGGAAATATTGGAGTTGACCTTCCTTGAGAAAAAGTACTTCAGAGCAATGACTACAGCCTTTTTTCAAGTGAACTTGAACTTAGTGAACTACGTAAAAAGGAAATCGCTACCCGACCACGAAATTCGAAGGGGATATACATCACCACCTTGAAAAGCACTATACTAAAGGGAAATGATTGACATTAAATTTTAATTTACTTACGTTTTCATTTGAAATGAAACAACGCATTTTTTCAGCTTTTGTCCTGTTTATTCTCACCTTCCGTTGCTGTTTGCTTTTTGTTTTGCCTAAACTACTTTTAAAGTCAGAAAAAACAACATAGCTTTACACAGGAAAAACAATGAAACCAAGAACAAGCTATTTCATAATTTTTACACAGAAAATTTCAAGAAAAGAGATCCCCTTTCAATTCTGGAGCCAACTGAAATCATATACTCTCCTATTCGCTGTTTATACGTAAAGAATTTGAAATTACCCGAAACTTGCCTTGTACATGGACTTGTACAAGGACTTTTCTGTGTTTTGAATAACGATGGTTACTGTGAATTTGTTAATGGAATATAACGAGTACCCCTCTTTCAAGTCTTAAAGTAGAACATAATTTAATAATGGTAACCAAGAACCCAAATCGTTCTTAAAAGAAGGCAACCCTTTATGCCAAAGTAATTAATATTAAACAAACCTGCTACAAGTCTTTCATGTCCGGTTACTTGACACTATGAAGTATCAATTGAATGAAAACGTAACCCTGTAGGGGGAACACTTTTTATATACTACGGCCCTGTTTTCTAAAAAAGAATGCAATACAACCTCAGAAAATAGATCAAAAACCCACTAAATTAAATTTCACACAAAGCTGGTATATTTGCGAAGAAACGTTCACAAGGCGGGGCTCTGGCCAGCTGCAATTGGGCTTAGTCGTCATAACAACTTACGGTCCTGAAAGAAATCCAAAAAAAAAATTTAATGTCACTTAAAGGCTGCAAATTTCGACGCAGCAAAGTGTGGTTTGTTTGTAATACTTTGTTTTTCCCTTGAAGCGTGATAAACTTAACAACGCCGCAAACAGAGCCTTCAATGGTCAAAATCCCAAAGTTATTTGATAAAAATAGATCCAGGCTCGTTACATCGGTTTTATGTCTTTTGCTGTTCTGCAGTCCTTGATGTCCGTCTCGCTGGTACCGTAAAAAGTGGCGAGACGCTTCGATCCGTTGTAGCTTCTTTGTATGTAAGACATTCGGGAGCGTAGACGACAACGGTCGTTTCTGGCAGGACTTTAATCAATGATGGCGAAGACAACTCTTACGGAAAATGGGATCCTTCAGAGTAACTGATCGACCCTGAGGTCTGGGATTAAAGTCAGTCTTTTTACTTACGCCATAAACTTATCGTATTCGTCCTTGCTGCAGGTCGACCACGTAGATGGGTTGAAATCGAAAGGCACACCACTAGCCATGATATAGGTCCCGCTGTCACATGTGTTATCAGTACCATCATGCCGACAGCCGAGACTATGTCATTGAAATTGAAATCGTTAAGGTCTATAAATGGTTCTTTCGTTCAAGATCACTCGGCCCTGTTATTTGTCAAATTTAATACCTTATCTATTTACGACTTTTACAAATATCACTTGTGTGATTTAATGTTTAAGTTTGAAAAAGGAATACTGCCTCTGAATATTAAATCTCTTTTTGCAAGGACTACTGATATTCACAATTATAGCACCAGGTCGTCAAATAAGCTTCATCTTGATAAAGTCAGAACATCTATTCACCTTTCCACTGTTAGATACCAGGGACTCTTTCTTTGGAACCAAATCAGATCTCTTTGTCCAATGACGACAATTACAACTTGTAAAAGGCATTATAGGAAACTTTTATTAAATGTGGCTGACAATTGAGAGTATGATTTCTTCTAAACAATGCCAAAGTTGTATTTATATATTTTGAAACCTGTGATTAGGATTTTGTGTTGCTGTATACAGCTATTTACTAACTTGAACTAATGAAGACCTTCACACATTATTCTGTAGTATTATTTCTGATAGTTGTTTCTCTCCAGAATTGTAAATTTACATGTATTATCTTTGCAGGGGGCAGACCCCGTACAAGCTTTGGCTTTTCGTCTGACCTCCCTCCATACTATTTAATTTAGTTTCATTACCTTATATTATTTAAATTGTGTATAGTATGGGAAATAAATAAACCAAATCAAAACCCAAAAAATATTATGCATTGTCTTGGTATCAAAATCTGAATGAAATCTTCTGAAACGTTTGGTTTGTTTTGTGTACAGGAGATCTGCCAAAGGAATATCGTAATATTTGTTAGCGAACAAGATTAGTGTCTAGGTTGTCTGGAAGTGTTCTTGAGGTTCGAACTAAAATTGTTGATATTCAAATTGGGGCCTATAGCCAACTGACTACTTGTGTAAGCCTCCAATTCGATTTTAGCAGACCATTTAAAATGTACGTTTATCATAATGTGGGGGTACTCAGATGTTTTTCATTTTTGAAAACCAAATAATTATGCCGCATTTATGTTTCGAAATTCTACATGTTGTGGGTTCAGCATGTATCTTTAACCAAAGAGAAAAAATACCAAGCCTATATTCAAGCTGTTAAAAGTCTGTAACAGTAGTATCAACGAAATATGATGTGATTACGATTTTGGGAACAATTCTCATCAATGAGTATGACAATACAAGAAAATGAAACCGAAAAACCGATTACAGTCTTGATCATGCACCGGTTCTTCTGTACATGTAAATGTTTGATCACTTACTTGTGCCCTATTTCGTGAGCGAGTGTAGGAGCATTGCCGTCTGGTTCTCGAAATCCCGATATCGAGACAGCATGCTTGTTTCCGCATACACCGATGTACGCATAGCCCACCGTGAAAATATAGGGTTGTCTGTCAAACACATGAGGAGATAAAGTGCATCATATCCAATAATATTATCGAATATCAAGTCAAAATTACAAATGGAGGCTTCTTACGGTCGTGTTTAATGTGCATGATAACTGATTTCTCTCAATCCTGTGCCAAAGTATTCTTGTCCAACCCCCCAACCACACGTGTTCTTGCTGATTGTTTGCAATTTAATCGATTAAAGTGTAAAAGAGGCTGTAGGCTGGCATGGAATTTTGATATTTCATTAAACCTTGCGAGGCGTTATGTAACTTTCCTTTTTTGAAGTCCTAAGCGGCCTCTATCGGCTAGTCGCTTTTGTCATGGTGTATAATTTTCAATTTTTCTCAAAGGCATTTATATTTCTCCGTAGGTGTCTTCTAGCCCCTAAAACTTTTAAAAACCGCAGAGAGGGGTCAAAGTAAGGCCGGGATACCTTTATGTCTAGTCCTGCTGAATTTGAAGGGGGGTCCCTAGGGACAAGGCTTCCGCCATTCATCAACGGCCAAGCCACATCTGTCCTCTCCCCACAGCCAGTCAATGACTCTGAGACATCAGTGGCTGAGTTCGGGTGGCTTGTTCCCGTATGTTCATGAACAGCTCGATTTGTTGTTCGTGGGTCAGCCGCCCGAACGCCGGGAACTTACCGGTTACCGCTGGTAGTTAGTGACAAGCAACATGCAACATGGCGGCGTCCAAGAGAGTTAATGTTTGGATGGGCGGAATTCTTTTCTATATAAACAGGAACATTCATTTCTGTGTTACAGAAAATTAACGTTAATTTTGCAAAACTTCCCATTGTCTATGGCTTTGGAAGCCATCTCTTTACTTTTTTGCAGCTGTTCAAAAATCCAAATCTCACGAGTTTTTCCGTGTGTTCCTGTAAAACCCTGACGAGGAGGTGGTGTGTGATCCTGTTCCGAGAACAGTGTTCTTGAGTCGTGTTCCCGCCGTTCGAGCGCGAGAATAAGAAACCCGTGTCAAGAACAGGCCGACCGAACTCGACCAGAGAATGCCGCTGGCCTGCCAGACATGATAGGATCCTATATGACAGGCCCTGGCTAGCCCGCCCTGGCAAGGCTTGGCTTCAGCAGTTCAAATATTCCCATGGGGCCGCATGGCGGAGTTGTTGACACCATGTTTTATACACATTCCCTTGGGACCTGGCTAGAGGCCGACTAAAAAAATTTTTCTGGCTGAGGGGAATCCCCAGCATTAAAAGTGACTAAACTAGGATGTTCAGCATGAACAGAACATAAAGGAAGGACACAGAAGGAGTTTGAACTGCCCGGGCTTCAACATCTGGCCAATTACCGCTTTCTGGCATGCCCGGTATGTCCGTAGCCAGAGCGCAGTGAACGCTCGCTACGCAACATATGTTTCACAACCACGAAACCCCTTTGTACCCTATAATCGCCGCTGCAATTTGTCGCTGGTAATCTACATCCTTAAAATTTGTGCACTGAGGTATAGGAGAATGTTGTTGGTGCTTGATATGATCTCATGACAACATCAAATGCAATGCTTGCACAGTTGGTTGTATTACACTGTGTGCCCTAAATCTATATGTGCAGTCATTGCCCTTAATGAGCGCTTTCCTCTGGAGTTATTTTTGGACTAAATAGCCTGGTTGTTTACAAAATATGTGTTTTGTTTGAATCATTTTTATTATGGCATTTGCACAAAAACGAATTTTTATGTGATTTCACGATCACTCCCCTGTGATGAAATAGCGCATTTTGTTACTTATGAACTTAGCTTTCCAGTAATAGTCAACATTTTGTTGGCCAGTCTTAGCCAAATTTGTACCAAGTCTTTGAACACTGATGGATTGGAGGGAGGAGAAAAAAAATACAAACTGTGCATGGGTAATAGAACGGTGTATCATAATTTAAAAGTTTATTTACGATGGTAAAAGTAGATCTAATATCAGGGATGTTTCTCTCCCTATTTCCTGGTTACATCGATAATTTGTATTTAATTGCAAGCAAAAAACTACAAGTATTGCTAGGATATTTCTGGCCCCGCTTGTCCGGCTAAGATGCAGGCAGTGATCAGGCATTTTTGGAATGTTTTCTATTATACGTCTGACTTGGCGGCGACCATCATTAAATACTTTGAAGTGCCAGAGTTGCAACTCCTTCTGTGTCCTTCCTGTATGTTTATAGTGTGGTGTATATAAGTAACCATATTTAGAGGGATTGGGAACCAGTCTATCTGTTGTAAGTGCAAAGCGTCCAGCCAGCCGCTTAACTACTGCCGAAGGAAAAGTGCGACCTAGAATGCTGTTGAATTCCATGAAAATCGTCTGGTAATTTATTGCTGGGTTCCTGCAAAGGTTAATTGGATGGAAATCGACAATGGAATTTCTAAATTCATCCATGTTCCTCCCAGAAAGATAATCAGTTATTAATTTCTCCTATAGGCTACTCACCCTGATACATAGGCAGCATTGTCAAAGTGAAACGGTTCACCTGGTGCTTTCCAATTATCACCTGCATGATCTCTGCACTTGAAGAGCGAGTCAACTATATTTGTTGTCGTTTGAAGCTCGTCCTTTAAAACAATAATGGATACTCGTTTTTCCAGTCGTTTTAATGAAAATACAATAACGTATATCCCATGAAGCCCATTTTTAAATAGAGTACATCATTAACGTTTTTCTCAAAAAAGATTCCCCAAAACCTTATTGCTTATCGTCAGAAGACAGCTGAGTCATTTCGTTCACGCGTATTGTATGAATCACTTCAAAGAAATAACACAGACAACGTCAATAAATTCATCTTTCCAGCCACCACTCCGGCGACAAGGTTCAACTTTCTTAAACAGATAAAGAAATATTTATACAGTACATATATTCAACAACCTTAACTGCACATAATAGAAATAACATTAATCTCTGTAGACTCGATTTTTCAGTGTTGTGTGATGTATGTATTTTTCTAGTGTCACATTTCAAGCGAATCACGACATATCTTCATTAGGTTTGGTTTACACTGTGTTCCCAGCGGCCACGGCAATTACATTTGCCTGAAACGTAGTGCGCCGTGGGATTTTGTTAGGTCCTGCAAAGTTGATTTTTCGAATTTTTTTATCATGTTGCATGAAGTTGCCCTGCCTGGCCCGGCTTTTATACTCCCTCCCAGACCATGCTCGCCTTATCAAACCGTAGTAAAACGCAACGCGCCGCATCGCACCAGGCCTGTAAACCGTCACATCTTGTCACGTTTGCCCATCCCGTCTCCCCCCCTGCGTTGTCTCACGTCCATACTGTTTTGTCCACGGTGGCCAGAAAGGTAACTGCCGTGGCCGCCGGGAACACAGTGTAAACCTACCTTTAGGAATATAGCCTTTATCAGCTTGTTACAATTAAGACTACTTATTGTTTACAAAATAACATAGGCGGATTTCACTGTCAACATGTTCGTTTTTTTTGTTTTTGGTTCTATTTTTGTTTTGTTGAAATGTATTGACAAACATATATAACAAACATATTGACAGTTAAATTCGCTAAGGTTATTTTTTAAACAATGTATAGTCCAATACAAAATGGACAAAGATTTTAAAATGAAAGGAAATTAAGTTTCTTGCAGCACCTTCTCCCTACCTACCTCGTCTGTAATGACTCCGCCCCCTGTGAGCTTGATATTTAAATTGCCGCCCGTGAGAGATTGAAGTTTGAGAAGTCCAGTGGCCTGCAAAACAGACGGATCATTGTTTCAATCATGTTAATTCTCACTTCAAGTAAGGTAAACAATATAGACAAGTGTTTCATGAAAAATATAACAGCGAGCTTTAAAAATCAGGGAAATCAATTTCTTGTACGTAGACAACAAGAACTCCATTCTGCAATTCGTTTAGATAAAATTGTTCAGTCACCCATGGGGATTTTTCTTTCCCTGGGAAGATTATCTATAATAATTCCCTGTGATTACCGCTGCACCAAGTCTGATGAGCTTCTGGCCGGTTTCACTCCCGTGTTTCTCATACAGCTGGTAGTCGGCGTACAGCGCCAGTTCAAGTACTTTTTGTGCCTCTTTGTGAACGGGTTCCGAGGTTTCGTGCTCAGTGGTGTATCGAACTGGACCTAGAGTATGAACAGAAAAAGGCGTTGTTGGATACTCATCGTAGCCAGATTGACGTTCCAAATCCCTAGGACCGACAGTGCATGGTCTGTTCATTGTAAGCAATTCATTGCATCATCAGCTAATCAATCTCATGTCCTGCAGAGATCCCTTTAACTTCATCCAATCTGGGGTGTCATAAAGGCCACACTGTTTTAACCTGACCACGATAACTACCCCTCACGCGAATTGCATGGTGCTATAGCCGTTAAGCCGCACCAAGTAGGCATAGGATAATCAACATCCCGAAAATGTCCCGCCGTTTAATTTCAAAAGTAAGGGAGGCGGGGGCGATAAATTACCACTCTACGTTTTGAGCATCTTTTTTTCCCCAATGCTATACAAAACAAAGTAAATCTCAATTCCTCACGATTTTGTTTCTCACAAGCAGAAAGTATGGGGGATCGATTGATCCATTACCCAGGTCAAAGAGTTGTGGACATATATCCCCTGGGAAAACACCGATTGGGTGAATGACAATTGTGGTGCATGCGTAAAATCTTCAATGATCTTCTTACCCATGACACTACTGTCAACACCGCAACGGATTTCATTGCTGCCCTTATACGCAACGTGGGCCAGACCAACACCTTCATGACTAGCTGGGTGATCCTTCAGTGGCGTGACGTGTATCGGCACACCCTTGCGATAAATCATCACATGCTACACACGAAAGGAAGCAAAATCGATTTGAGGTACGAGTGGACATAGCGTAGGCATGTCAGATATTACAGGCAGCACCTGACCAGACTAGCAAAATGGCGAAGTTGTAGCTTTGTATTGTATTCGATAATCAGAATTAAGAGCCATTCCTGCAGTTGCACAACACACGTGGAAAGGTGGTACGCGGTAGTCATTACCAAATGCACACGCGCGTCATGCTTCAGAATGCGCGTGTGAGTGCAGTACCACCTATTGGGTGCGTTCGATTAGCTTACACGTGTAAGTTAAACTTACACGAGAGCTTTTGTTTAGCCATCACGTGGTCCTCGTGCCTGCCCTGGTGTGAGCCAAAACTACCCCGGCTAGCGAGCGGGTCTCTGAAGGCTGCCCAAGTGTAATGACGTCACGGATGGACTGTTCGTGAATGGGCATGCTGGAACGTGGCGGGGACTTGACCTTATTCCCAGAATACCTTGGCGAATACACTGCAGCGTTCGATTAGCCTCATTCCAAGGCTTCCCTTGCGTGTATTACACTGGTGTATTCAGGGAAACTAATCGAACGCACCCAGAGATCTCCATTGTAATGGTACCACCCATGAAAGCTCTATAAGAAAACCTAGAGTGCGTGCTCCGTATCCGCTCCGAGCGGAACAAAAGAGGGTGTGTTTTATTGGTAGTCACCGCAAAGGTGCGCAAGTATATGCACGTTTGACGCGGAGCGCGCTGAGTACGCGTAACTAATTTATACTGGGTGCGTTCGATTAGCTTCCCTGAACACACCAGTGTTACACTCAAGGGAAGCCTCAAAATGAGGCTTGTCGAACGCTACAGTGTGTTTTCCAAGGCATTCTGGGAAAAAGGTCGAGTCCCCGCCTCGTTCCATCATGTACATGTACGTCCATGCTCGAACAGTCCATCCATGACGTCATTACACTCGAGCAGCCTCCAGAGACCAGCTCGCCAGCTGGGGTAGTGGTGGCTGACACCAGGGCAGGCACGAGGATCACGTGATGGCTAAACGAACGCTCTCGTGTAAGTTTGACTTACACGTGTAAGCTAATCGAACGCACCCTCTGGCATGTATGGTCTTTGCTTACACGGTACGCAGAACGCGTGCAAGAACCCGCTTGAAACCACCTGTCTTTCTTTCTCCAATTGAGGTGCACTTCAGCTCGGGGCGGATAAGCTACGTACGCAGAACTCGTGCAATGTGCCGATATGTGGACGCGCATGAGCGGAAGTAAGCTATAAGTGCCCGGTAGTGATATGATCTCGTGCTGCGTTCATAGGCTAAACAGGTTTGACAGCAACCAGAATGTGCTTCTGTGACGTTCGTATACGCACGTGCGTATCAACACACGTTACAAGCAATACGAACACCGAGCGCACGCGCGCGCACTCGGGTGGCAATGGCAGTCGTTGCTTCAGGTCACACGACGAGTACGTGCTCTAGGTTTTATCCGCCTCGAGCGGAAGTGCACCCCCTATCGGCGAAAGAAAGACATGTGGTTACAAGCGGGTTCTTGCACGCGTTCTGCGTGCACGTACTTAGGGGCTGAGTTCGGGCGGCTTGTTCCCGTATGTTCACGAACAGCTCGATTTGTTGTTCGTGGGTTGGCCGCTCCAACGCCGGGAACAAACAACCGGTTATCACAAGCAACATGCAACATGGCGGCGTCCATGTACGTTATTCGAGAGTTAAGGTTTGGATGGGCTGAATTCTTTTCTATATAAACAGGAACATTCATTTCTGTGTTACGGAAAATAATTAATGTTAATTTTGCAACACTTTCCATTGTCTACATGGCCAATGGCCTTGGAAACCATCTCTCTACTTTTTGCAGCTGTTCAAAAATCAAAATCTCACGAGTTTTTCCGTGAGTTCCTGTAAAACCCTGACGAGGAGGTGGTGTGTGATCCTGTTCCGAGATCAGTGTTCTTGAGTCGTGTTCCCGTCGTTCGAGCTCGAGAACAAGAAACCCGTGTCAAGAACAGGCCACCCGAACTAGACCAGGGAGCTTCGCGTCAGAGTACCAAAACCCACGCCCTCTTTTGTTTGGCTCTGAACGGATAGAGCAGTCTGAGTACCACGGCAGCTATCACGTCTTTTGTACCTTTTAGGGGCACGTTGCGTGCACGATGCGTTCATGTGTTTCTTTCTCACGGACACAAAGTCGACTCCATTAATTTTTAAGATATTAACACAAGTGTGCATTCATTCGGCCATCAAAATCGCCTCATAGGAGCGATTTTGACGGAAATGCAACGCTTGGCGCAATGTTGACTCGCATATGGAAAGTTTCATTAATCTCCATATCATTGGCAACTGGTACGCGGTAGGCCTATGCGTATTAGTTCCTTCAATGTTTAAGAAATGGAGTGTAATCAATCCCTGTATTACGATACAAACAATGCCAGTGATGATAACATATTGACTAACAGTTTAAACCACGAAGGAAAGGAGTATCAAGTTGCTTAAAAACGTTGGTGCAATAATTGATATCTTTCGGTTCTAATGGTTTGTCAATTTGCTGCTGATGAGTGTTTGCTTGATATCATCACAATGGATTTTTTTAGCACCAGGCCTACAAGTTTGGAAGGGTTTGGTGTAGCAATTTCTTGAAACTATTCTGACACCAATATAGTATACCATTCTCACTCAACGCCTACTTTTCATAGACAGGCCAGTCAATGACCCTAACAAGGAAATCCTGTATGGAATTAAATATTGAGACTTTACAGACGTACTTATAATGAATGTGTTTACGAAATGGCCAAGCCTTTAGGGAAGGGAATCTACCCCACCCCAACTGTGATTTTTCCCCAAAAGCTCGGCACTTTAGGCCATAAAATTTAAAAGTCTCACGAGTGTAAAATCGGTTATGAACTCACTGGTGGAATCTGTACGTTCATCAACCTTCGAAAAAGCATTCTTAGATCCTCCTTAATCTGACCTCACACCCTTTTGATCCGTTTGCATTATTTCATAGACAAGCAAAACTCACCAAACCCTCGCTAGTTTCCGCGGTAACTACGGATTCCGGGTCCGAGTTCCATTTTCCTGAGTACAAGCAGTCGGTTCGGATAGGAAGCTTTTGTCTGCCTTCGGCAGATATCGCCGGCATTTCGAAGTCTGGTGAGATGCCAAAGTCGTCTCGTTGGAGGGGCAGATCGAAATCTTCACCGAAGGCTTGGAACGTTAGACGCAAATTATCTGAGCTGAGAGCGTCACCGGTGACAGCAAATGCACCCTCTTCCGTCACCACATAGGGGTAGATAATTTCATGTTGGGGAGCTGCAATTTATATACAACATACGAGAAGTTCTTGAAATGGCTGACATAAAGGGCCTGAAATTTCTGGTCAAACCAATTTTCCGACTCCCCTCCCGGAAAAAAATTTGGCACTCAAAATTTTCCTTGAGGATCGAGCCTCAAAAAGCCAGAGTTTCTCCAGTTACGCTTAGTTGAAACTTTTGTTATTCACAATATCCAACCCTGTTCCATGAACTATCAATCTGTACCTTTTTCAGCGCTTTCAACATCAAATAGACGCTGGATGTCACGTTCTTGGAGCTCTCTCCAAGACTGTAAACAAATCAACATGAGAGGAATACGCTTAGACTCAAAACGTTTTCTCTGTACAAGGGGTGCAAATATCACACTTTGGCAAGACATGGACAACCGAGACATTCGCACTAAAGGAACTACGTAGACGTTTACGTGATGTTGTTAAATGCATTTTCTGTTGAGTAGGAAAACAGTCTGTTTGATTTACAGACAGAGATCTTCATGTTTCCTGGCAGATATAAAAAAAAATGATTAAATGTGGATCTCAAGAAAATTTCATTTTTACGAAGACAAAATACCAAGCATGGAGTTGCCCAAAGACAAGCAGCAAAGACGACCAACAAAACCCGAACAGCCATGGGTGAGCTGTAGATTCGTTCTCGCCCTCGTCCTGTGTTGGAAAAAGTAAGTGAGAGAGATGAATTTCCCCTTCATATAATACTGCGCAGAATTACTTTTAGAATGCCAATTTTGTTTTATGAGTTGTTGGCCACGAGAAAGAGGCTGAAAATAGTTTTAAATTATTTTAGTCAAGGCTGTTGGAAAGCAACCAGCAATTTCTGACACACTTGTCCCTCGAACAGCCAAGTATAATTATGTTAACCAATTCGAGTTTAATTATTTTCCAACTTTAAACAGTTCATTCGTTGAGTTGAGTGTGAATGAAGCACTTTCAATCATTTTCATAAAACCTAACGTAATGTAAAAAGAAAAAAAAACAGAGTTTGGATGGCATTGTGCCTTCAGCTTCTGAAGTACCAGCAAAACAACAAGAGTGTCACCAAGAAAGTCTAAATTTGCTCTGGGAGGGCACAAAACCTGACTAGGCCTGTCATAGAAATCGACGACTGGCCTCAAGTCGTCACCGCTCTTCCCATGTGGAGGACAGTGGAGGACATTGTACAGAAGCGCATTTTAGGACAAAAAGTTTTTGCTGTTAGTTTCTTATCTAAGCGGGATTTTTGGTGCTCTGTGAAAGGAATTTACAATCGTGATTTTTCCTATGCACACGAGGTTGCCGTATCTAAGCCAGTCACCTTTCGTGCTGTTTTATAGCAAAAGCGATTTAATGTGATATTCTGAAGAAAAAATTGAACAAAGCCAGAAAACCGGAGAGAAAATGATCATCAAAGTCGCACCCCTGTACATTTTCAATGGCCCGTGGCTCACACTTCTTGCCGCCAAGGCCATTTGTGCGCATGCGTGCATAATTATGAATTTATTAGAGAAAAGGTCTATTGGTCACGCGCAAATCAAGGAGCTTATTTTACACAGAGGGCTACGCTCCTCCCATCTTGCGTACGTATAGCACATGTACCGTTACATAACGCAATCCTCATCATTATGCACGAACAAACTTGACAAAGTTCGTACACACTCTGCTACAATATCATGCAATATGCAAAGTTATTTGTTACGTGAAATACCAAACATATACTGTAGATATTTAACAACACACTTAACAACTTTTCCTTCGAACATCACAGCCTAATATAAGTATATTGGCCAATTCGAATTCAATTATTTTGCAACTCTAATTAAATAGTTCAATATTCGTGGAGTTGATGGTGAGCTGAGTGAAGTACTCTCAACTTGATCATAAAGTATGGAACACTTCAGGTAATATTAAAACAGAGTAGTTTACATGGCATTCTGTCCTTCACCTTCTGGTGTACCAGCAAGACAAGGCGAGTGTCACGAAGTAAGTCTACGTCTATGCTCCAAAGGACACACAACCTGACCAGGACGATGGAAGCATATTCAACGATTGGCCTTGAGTCGTCACCACATTTCTGATTTGCTGTAGGAGACAGTTGAGACGCTTGGTGGCGGTAAAAATACTTTAGCAATTCTGTTAGTCATTAGATAGGGGTGTTTTGTCTGTGAGTTTGAATCGAAATCCATCGGCACAGCTCTTGTACAAGAGAAATAATATAATTTGCTGCATTTTGACTTACATTACCTGAATGTTATTGAATAAGATCTTGCACAGTTATTCATAATTTGCAACGTGCGCAAAATATGCAATGCGTTTCTGTGGCAGGGGATCTAATGGGAAAGCGCGTGCAAATGAAGACTCACCCTTAGATGGTAATATGCCACGGCATATTTTGCAGATCTGGCAACATCTAACGAACAGTAACCTCAGCTAGGTCAAGTGTGACATTGATCTGAGTTGTGAAATATTTGATTTATTCAAGTTGTCTATGCCTTAAAATTAATTTGTAATTTTACACAACACTGAGTAAAAACGCCGGTTAAAGTGAGGATTACGTGTAGGAAAATTCGATTAATCGCCATAACAGCCACGGCACCGCTAGACTGGTTACCGTGCCGTACGTAGTCTCCAGACGTCGTACAGACGTCCTCAGGCCTCCGATACTAGTAGGCACCGGTACCGTTAGTGGGAAATGAATTCGGCAGAATCCTGCCGAGTGTATGTATGAGGGAACGATGCCCGCTTAAAGGACAAATCAAGCAGCAGCTGATAGCAGACTAAGCATTTTTCTTCTCCACTACCGAAAAACACTTCATTATAAATTGTACGTGTATCTAACATTTAACACAATAACCACCGATTTAAAATAAAGTGCCGTAAACTGATTCATCGATGAAAATCATTGAAAAATGTCACATTACTGTAGTCGACAGAGGCGTAGCAAGGAGAGGTGCATGTGTGTTTTATTTGTTTCTCGCTGCAGCGAAATTCGTCTGACAAAATTTAAATAATTGTTACGATGAACAAAGAAATTAACTGGGAGCGGGATTTGTGGCCTCCGGATTACCGTACCAGTGCTCTACCAACTGAGCTATCCAGCCCCATGTTGGTGGCTCTTCAATTTGTCAATATCTTTGTTCAGGAGGACGACTTTGTTCGGGGCGACGGATGGCGGGCGACGGCAGATATGGAATTTCGTAACATTCAGATCCCCATAGCGTTTCAAACAAATGGAACTTTGGAACTGAGGTGTACGGAGTGTGTCTCAAAGTTCTGGGAGTAATTTTCGGTCATTTTCAGTTAGTAATGATTTGGTGAGCAAACATTATGCAGTTAGGCTTATTATTAAAGGCTTCCTGTGGGAAAAAGGGGGGGGAGTATTTGGCAGACACTATTTTTCGGTTAACCTAATAGTAGTAAATACCAGGTAATTCCACAGCATCAGAAAACATGAACGGATTCAATAAGACAGATAAAACCCACAAAATGGAAACTTGCATCAAGAGACAAGATGTACAAATTCAAAACAACTGTATTATTTTTGTACCTCATATGAGAAACAACCAGAACAAAAATGTCTGCAGTAAATGCAACATTTTGTTTCCGTACAGCACTGAAGTATTCAATTGAATTTCTATCTACCAACAGATACAAAAACAAAAAACCAAACAAAAAAATCCTGGGCGACTTTGTACGGTGATAGTACAGAACACACTTTTACCGGTTTATACAGAACGATGGAAACTTGAATTGGACAATAAACCCATAAAACAGTTTAAATATGGAAACATCATTATTTGGGTGCCAACATTTTCTATGGGTGTAAAGAAACTTATCGAACCACTTCATATTGGTTAGCTATTTATACAATCCAATATGCAGTCATTTTATTTCCACAACGCGTCACCCCATGTTTGCTTAGAAATCAATTTCACAATTCCCCCCCTTTCAAAAAAAGGTAATGTTCCTTTCACGTAGACAAATGAAGGTAATCTTGTAACAAAATGCAACATAATCCTTAAATTTGTTGGTTACTGCCGTGTTGTGGTTGAAGAAATAATTAAAAACAAACATTTTTGAAGGAGAGCAGGTCCAAAGGAAAGAACTGCCACAAGTGCATGTGCTTCTGCAATCCATTCCCATTAAAAGACTAGATCATACCTTTAAATCACGTCACAACATTCTCATATCAACTGTGTGTTTACCTGACTCATCTAAATGTGCCCCCGCGGTAATGACTGTATATGGCAAATACATGTACTAATTCCATATCATTACAGATACAGATGTTGGAATTAGTTTGAACTGAGAAGTTTTAAACTTGCAAAAATAAAAGGCTACATCTTTTTCAGGAACTAACTCTTTTGAGAGCAGACTGTTATCCATCAATGTGTTTGTTAAATGTCCAATGTACAATAAAACACTAATTTTCAAGTCACTCAGTTTGGGTTCTGTCTTCTATTGTTTTACTGAGAGTTAATCCAGGAACATCAAGAATCATTTCGCAACAACAAAGGAACATTCTTTCCGACATCAAGCCAAACTGTACAGCACTTGTAACTGGTTCTCCAGTGCTATTTCAAAATGGTGCGGACCCAGGTGTTGATCTTGATGGAAATGGGACAGTAGGGGCTATAGTTCGTATGTGCGTTTTATAATACGGGGTATAACCTAGCGATCAACTCATGAAATTGATGAACTCCAACAACTCTGATACTTCTTCTCCCCACTTCACAAAAATTCTGCCAAAATGCCAGAAGTACAGCAACATTTATGAATGTAAAATGCATTAATCTTCGCACACGTCATCTGCTGGCCTACTATTCCTTTTTCAATTTCATAATGAATCCCAGGGAACCCTAGGAATCAACCCAGGTAAAATGACTTTTTCAAAATGACAAAGACCTCACCTTAGATGAAAAAATCTAACACAAAACTCGTATGTATCCGTACAACCAAGGTGTAATGATACATCTTTACATTATCCAGTGTGACATTAAATTAATACACATTCCAAATACCATGGAAATTATAGAAAATACAAAAACTTTCTGGCCAGATAAGGAAATTTACCTGCACACAATACACAAGTTCATTTTTTAAAGTTTACATAAGGTATAACTTTAAAATGTATCAACAGTTCTGTTCCTCGTAGTTTGGAATTTGTTCTCCAATCTACAAATCCCATTCTACACTATGTCTGAAAAATATGGCTTCCCCATAGTATTAGTATTTTATTAGTAAATGATGTGAACTTGATACGTATCATGTAATATACAATGTTGATATTTTTACAGTGAAATGCCAAACATATAGATATTTAAACAACACTCTTAACAACGGTCCTATAAGTACCTCCATACTATAACTCCCATATTCCCCGGGTTTGTACACAACCACCCTAAGGGTAAATGTTTGCTGTTTCTGCTAGTCAAAGTACTACAGGGTTCAACTCTAAGGCAGCTAGCCTGGTTCTGATATTGACAAATAAATCATTCAAACACCAGCACTACGAAAATAAGAGATGCTGCGGTCAAATCGAATAACACAAACCAATGCAACGATGATGTAAGGAAGGACACCCACCGGGTGTGTATTTACCAGTTTGCACTGACGGTACTTCGCCAATGTCATTAGGGGTACGGGGGTCCCTATGACAAAAACACAATGCTACATTTTGAAAACAATGTTGATGACTTGGTCTTGGCCTAGACTGAATTTGGTTATCTCAATACGTACTCAGACCCTCAACTAGTGCACACGACAAGTCACATCAGTTAAAGACGGTGCCAAACCAAATTGACACACTTAACCCCTGAAACCCGGAGCATACCTCACTACGCCCCTCATCTATCATAATACAATCACAAGCCTGAGGTATGCTCAGAATTTCTTCGACTGGATTTTAGATCAACTCACACCTCATACATGTGCACGATAAAGAGCCAACCATCGCTGGTCCATCATTATCACAATGCCGGTCAATGGTTTTACTGTTTACCAGGTGTACATGCAAGGATCCGCGCACTTGGACATGCTGCCTTTCCTTGACTCCTGAAATTTCAATGGCCCACCGAGTAGGTCTGAAGTATGGAAAGCCAAATGTAACATGGTTTATTTCAGTTGGGTAGTCCATTTTAGCTCCTCTCTGTGCACTGGAAGTTGACAATGTAGATCCATCAGCCTTACCTAGGGAACTAGTTTGTCAACTTCCTATTGCCCTGGGGAGTCAACCATCCACCTTCAAACTACAGTAAACAGACTGTGTAAGCAATGGGAGAAAACAATCCAAATTCAGTCTTGAGCAAAGACTATTAAAAAAACTAGGACAGCCATTTGTTTGGGAGGGGACAGGCAACTTCCTTACTTCCTGGATCCACCTGCAGTCTACAACTCAAGTAAAGCACAGTATACCACATCAAAAGTCAGCGTCTTACTCTTTGGTACATGGTTTCAATCCAAAACCATTTACAATTTTTGTCAAAAGAAAAATTTACATCTGCAATGAAAAATAAAGAAAAAATCTGAGTATCTGTAAGCTGACGAGCTGCAAGCATGTAGTACCATTCAAGTGGTCAGCCAAACCTAAGCGCATAATGTACAGGCCATTTGAATTAAAAACAACAAAAGCTTCACTTTAATCGCATACAATGCTGTACTACGTTGTGTCAATAAATTAAACTGGTGGAGAGGGTAAAGCACAGCAAGTAAAGGTGAAAGTTAGAAACATCACGGTCAGGTTTGAAAAAAAAAAATTTAAAAAAAAAGTTGTATGAATGAATCTTTACATCCAAGATTATTTAACAATGGTACTTAAAATGAGTGCACGTTCATAATTATGAAACCTCTCTTGCTGGCTTCAAGCAATCGTGAGAAACAAATCAGTTTCTTTAGAATTTTGATTTCAGTAAATTAATTCACGTGGACATATTCAAAGTGACAGATCACATTGGAAGGAAAAAGATCGGGTTGTGGCTTTTGGTGGTGGATACAAAGTTGGGGGGGCCGTACAGACTGAAAAACCGAAAACACCCCCTGCCTGATAAGTGTAGAGATTGTGTCCATAAGCAAGACATCTGACAGCAACTCAAGTAGAACTGTGGAATAAATGGGTATGCTTCCTTAAACTCATTTGCAGGAAAACAAAGCGTCTTCCACCAGAACTAGTGACAATTTCTCTACCCTTTTTATCCCACGGATATCTTTCTTTCGTATTCTTGAGAGGCATCCAAATTAGATGACAATAATTAGCAATCACAAACAAGGACTGAAGAATTGGAGAACCAGAATCCACCATCAAAAATCTTGGTCTACACTTTTGACTGTCACTGTAGGCTCCATTGCACAATAAATGACTCAAAGGGTTGACATATCAGAAAAATGGCTCCGTTAAAGAGTGTATTACTTGTCTCAACACAAGTACATACATGCTTGTCCCACTGGTTGCCATGCCGACTGTAGTGAGAAATGCCCCCACAACTTTGTCCTAATTTGTCTAACCAAAGAAACGGCCCATTGGAGTGCAAATTGCAAAAACAGTAGAACAGCCCACTGGTGAGAGCATACTCTCATTCAGTCTGGGAGTATACTCTTGCATCATGCAATTATTTCCAGACGGCAGAAAGGGAAATATTTTTGTTTACACGATGAGAACCAAGTGTAATGCACAGTCAACATTTTCCTGCATCCTTGAGTATCGGGAGTAACACACAATAACGCAGCCACTATCATATGTAAGGGCACTTGTCATCAATTTTCACCAATTTCTGCGCCAACGATCAAGGTGTACTCTGCAAACCTAACCCCAGCATGGTGATCAATTGTGCCAGCATCTGTACATTAACTCACAAAATGCTGGGGTTGACCTCAAGTCTGGTTTTCAAGCCAACAGATTCTGACCAGTTGAGAGAAACTTTAGGTCTGGTAGCTGTCACAGTTAGCCATCAAAACAAAGAAAGTCCCACCCATTTTTGAAAAATTTGGAAACTGTCCTAAAATGAATTGAGCACCTAGACCTGGATATGCAGGTATCTGGAAATTGTCAAATCTTGGGACCAGACTAGTGGACCAAAGGCTGCATCTAAATCTGTTGTCTACAGCTAGGTCTCGGTCTTCGCTCCATTGGAAATATGACAAGATGTGCAGACAATACATCTAGCCGTAGCTATAGAAGCCTGATTTGGACATGGCCTAAGTATACAGGGGCTAAGTTTCATCAGTGGACATTTGTCACCCACTGGCCCCTTTCCGGTGGTACCTAGGATACACTTTATACATAGGTTACGAGCCAGCCAACTGCAGGTTGAAAAATGGTTGCTGATCAAACTTAACCAGGGCTGTTGTGCTTGAACTGGTGTACAATAACACCTCTGCATGTATATCTCACAGGTACCAGTGCCATGGAAGTGCCCTAACTAAATATTAACCACTTTGCGCCGGGGCATTTATGAATGTTAGCAATGCTGGGCTGGGATTATTTTCATTTTTCTCGGTTTTCAAAATTCTATTAAAATTCATATCTTCATTTACTGGAAACTTACACCCACACGAAGGACTGTCTGGTTTCCACTCTAATCTGACAGACAACATCTATTGACACCGGGGTATTTCAGCCAGGCCCGCTGCTTTGTAAAAAGAGCCCAGATTGTGTGGTGTTTTATAATTTTCTTTTGTTCACAAACTGGGCTCAGTGCACTGCTGACCTCTTTTCAATAGGGGCCAGATTAGCGTGCAGCGGTGCTGTGTGGCTCATTGCTGCGGAGGTGGAGTGCTTTTGTCCCTGGTGGTAATCCGCTCATGCTAACCGTGGTATACTGTTTCAAACCAAGGCTGGATTATCTCCACTTTTGCGAGTGAAAAAAATGTTAGTAATGCCCAGCAGCCTGGTCTTTTGTTACGAGTACAGTCTTTTGTTACAAGGCCCAGTTCCCTTTGTTCGATATCAGAGACCCCGGCCACGCATATACAGAATAAATGTCCGGTACCGGAAACCCCAGCGGCAAGTGGTTAAGACTAAATAGTTCCCTCAACAGTGCATACATGAAGCTCACAGAGGCGGCCTCGATACAACTTGTATCTCTCCTTCTATTTCTCCCCCGTCCACGGATGTACTTTTTTGTTAATATGTACTTACTATAACAGTCACTACGATGAATACTAAAGCTATGAGTCCGATCACATGGACTGCACAGCTCCTTCCAGAAGACATACCAATTTATGTACATGAACTATGTATTTACATCACACTGCCCAGCCATCAAGGGTTCATTTATATTTTATTGTATTGGCAACTCAGTGTATTTTTTTTTTCATTTATCATGATCCTGAGGGGGTGTCAACAATCCTTACAGAGGTACACCCTAGAACACTTTTACTTTTTCTTGATACATGAATATAGTTTTCATAATGGCACAAAAGCTTGCATTTGGCAAGGGTACCAATTTTATTTCCAACTTAAGGCCGGTTCATACTTCAGGCAAAAGGGAATGCGAAGCGAATTCGTCCGCAGGGAAACAGCACACGTCACAATGGAACTTTAATTGTTGACGTCATGAAATTCGCTTCGTATTTGCTTTCGCGCAAAGTGTGAACCAGGCTTTAAGCAGAACAACTGTTGTTATACGAGAAGCACATTATCAGAAGGTCACTTTGTTTTGCTGTATTCCGGAAAATTGCAAGGTCAAAGTCAAGGGTTTAACCAGAACATGTGCCTCAGGGTTAATCTACCACAGAGCCCTGAGCCAATTCCATGCAACAGTATCTGACAGCAAGCCTGACTGAAATTACAACCTTGCCAAATTAACAGCATAAGCTGCAGCGATTTAATGTCCTTGTAATGCTATCCATTGCAACAGTGGGCCACTACTTTTTGACAAAGAACAGCGAAGCCAGTAGGAAACACTGCTTGTGAACACCAGCGCCTGTTGTGAATTTCACCACTCTATGTCTCCATTAGAATTCCCTGTGGTTCTGTACCCCTCCCCCCAACCTCAGTAACTATTGGAATTGGAACTGGCCCTCTCACAAGCACTCACAGCCTCAAGCTGCCCCGCCAAGTTTATATCTTTTTTTTTAATTTGGTTAACTCATCATTAATATAACACACATTGCCTCCCTTTGCCGTTTGTTCAAGGGGGCCTATACAGTAGAAGAAAGCCCTGGACTTGCAGAGCCTCCACGAACTGGGTCTTGATGAATCAGATTGCTGGACGCCAGGGGTGCCCTTTGGCCGCAAACAAACGCAGGCATGAATAGAGGAACATAGAGGAACACCATCTCGCATCCCATTTGTTTGTTTCCTTTCACAGGAAAGTGTCTGCATGTACTGCTGTGGTTCTCAGTAATCTTTCAACACTGATAGCCTTGTGTATCTCTTAGATCACACACGGCTGAACACTGAGAACTGGCTGAAACAGGTCATCAAACTCTTTCTTTAACACTGTACCAGTCTTTTTACTTGGTGAGCTCCCCCGCTTTATATTGAGTGGATTATTTCCTTTTAGCAAGGGATCAGGCCTTCAAGGCCTCATGAAGGTCTGATTGTTACAGACCTTTTGCATCTGATGAGGTAGCTGGAGCTACAAAAGCTTAGGCAGAATTTTACTTTAATAGTTAGTCATCAAAGTGCTACTGATTCTTTATATTTGGATTCTACCTGACTGACACGGCTACCCACCACTACATTGAATCTCTTGATCACTGAACCTTTTGGGGTTTTTTCACAGGTGGTATCTTTTGTTTGAATTGGCTTTTTGAAATGTTTATTAATATCAGTGTATCCTCATGCTGGACAAAGTATGAGGTCACTGTGGCTCAGCACAACACAACATCCCTTGCAGATTTCCTACAATTTAACGATGTTTCATTTCTTGAGAAGTAGCAACAACTTCACACAGCAACTGATTTACCAAGGCCCAGAGCTTTAACACACATCCCCTGACGACTAACCCCCAAAACCCTATCATACAAACACTTTGGCCAGAGCGTCTGCTCCGCCGCTAGCAATGTAGGGCTTGGAGGGGTGGAAGGCGACGTCGAATATCGACTCGTCAAATTTCTTCCGGTGTGAGGTGATCTCCTGGACGCATGTTTTACTGTCCAGGTTCCACAGCCGAATGGAGCAGTCGTGACCTGGGACAAACAGCAGGCAATAAGTGATATTTTTCATATCCTCACATAACCACTGGAGACAAACATAATGGAATAAAATTATTGTGATAAGGGTAGATATTTGTTCACAGAAAACAAAAGATAAAGACGATCAACCTTTGGTCTTATGTTGGCATACGCACTTCATCTTGCAACATGAGCAGTTAAAAAACTTCATCAATATTACTCCTGCTTGACAACCTGTAAAACTTGGTCGGCAAAGGAGATTTAACAGTGGGAAACTACAGTCATTTGCAAAAGTTTAATACCACCTGGAATTTTATTGGTATTTCTGTCACTGGGCCTGCATTACATTGTCTCATTGAATGATTACTTAACTTGTTTTTATGGTGCATAACACCAGCGTAACGCTATATGCCCATTTGAATGAAATCTTTTGCCATGATTGATTGGTTTAAGTTTTTCTTCAGGTTATTGCATTTTGTATGAGTGGTCCTAAACTTTTGCAAATGACTGTACAGTCTCCGCAAACAAGCACTTAACAAAACACCAAAACAAGGACTTACTTCCCGAAAGCAAGTATAATCCGTTTGGATCCACCGCTAAGCTGGTCACGGCATCAAGATGGGCCACCATACTATGTACCATTTTACCTAATAACAACAATCAAGATGTTTCTTTCAATGACTTAGAAGCAATCAGTGTGGCGGCACCACTTGTGAAAAGCTGGTGGGCCAGCATTAGGTGCCTCGTCCACTGACAGGATCGAGAGACTCGCCAATATGAAGAGCAACTTCATGCACGTACATAAGAGTGTTGTGCCACCGCAGTAAGGACATCATCTCAGACGAAGGATAAAACAGGAGACAAGGTTTTTTCTATTGCTGCCCCTTGCCTGTGAACGATCTTCTCAGACAGTGTATCGTCATTCAAATCTGCTCTAAAAGAAACACCTTTTCCCATGTTGCTACAGAAATACAGTTGTTATATACTATTATTCAGAAGCTATCGGCAAACAGAGTTCATTTCTAAAACTCGCAATGTCCTCATTTGACTGGAATGAAACCTTAAAGCGTCACTCACCTGAATTGTTATCAAAGAACCTGATGTGCCGGTCTTCATGGGCAGTGATGGTAATAGGAAGTGTCGGATGACTGGCCACTTTGTTAATTTGTGTATATGCATTATCTGAAAACACAACAACAGACATTTAAAAGATAAAATGCCTAAATGGGGTTCCTTAACAAGATGGCCCTTTCGGATCATGCTCCCCAAATCCATTTCATTTATCAAGGAATCTGAAATGGAAAGAAGCCAGGCTATTTTGCTATAATTATAGGCATGGCTTCACTTTGAAAAAAATATTTTTCATTCGGGCAATAAAGACGATATGACTTTTTATCCATAATTTTTTATCCATAATTTATATGTTGACTGGTAACCTGCTTTCGCTGAGCAAATATTATCTGTGCTCAGAAGATCGCTGTACGTAGCAACTCTGTGAAAGAGAAAGGGTGGCAGCCCCTAGCCTATTCGCCACAGAAGTACAGACGGGCAACTGACAGTTGGCATAGTATCTCAGTAGCAGGAACTAAAGTCAAAACCCTTATTGCTCTCATGTGGGCACAGCCTTAGCATTTTATAATACAACTCACGAAACTGGCCCCAAAAATCTTCCACCCTCGAAGGTCCATAAATACAGCCGACATAAATAATGCACTAGCGTCTGAGAAGCAAACTCAAACACAATGAACTACTGGTAGGATGTTGATATTACCTAACAAGTTTTTTTAAAGTAAACATTAAGCAAAGTAAACTCCAGCGAAAACATGGCAGAGAGGCTCAGTTCTTTGGGGGTTCTCATGACATGGTCAACAAAGAAGCTTGCTTCTAGAATTGTTTGTAACAATGACTCAAAAGACTGACAATGAATGTTCTACACTGAAAAGGAAAGGTCACACGATAACAAGGACCGACAAACCACAAAAGGCTACAAGGCCCACAGACCAAACTTCTGAGAAAATTCTGACTTTAGTTTACCTGAGGGCATTTTGCTCTCCAACGTGACCACGGGAGTCCCTGTCTCCAGATCAAATATGATGGTGTCCGACGACTGGTAGCCCACAGTTATCTGGCTGGAGTCACAGCGCACAAAGTCAACTGAGGTGGGGTTGCCATAGGCTGGGGTGGGGGAGGAGGGAGCAACAAAGGGTAGACAGGGAGAGACAGAGATAGCAAGTCACTAATGCGTCAAATGCTTGGCCAGGGCCCAAAGTCAAACCACTGCAATGGTGGTACTCCCTCAACTGTGTCTGTTCACTTCGTCCAATTTTATCATGAAAGAAGTTGAAGCAAGTTGGTGTGAGAGTATTTCATTCACTCTGGCCAGTTCAAATAAGCATAGACTTCCTTTTCAACTACAGACTTAACCAAATGCGAGCCAACTTTCAGACTAAGCTTTCAGTTTGAATCATTCTAAGCCGTGCAATCCCGGTTCCTCTTTTAAGTGTGAGAAGGACTTCTGGCTGCAAAGCACTGAATCCATTCGAATAATGCCAAACAAAGGCATGGTTATTCAAGGTAGATTCAAGGTAGTTCAGTTTCATCAAGAAACCAGAGGTGTCTCATCCCTTATTCCCCCCAAGGAAACACCAAGTACACACGGTATGGGTAGGTTATCCAAGTTCATGTAGAGTCTGGAGGATTTCGATATTTGGATGGGCTAGTATGTCACGATCTTCAGGTAATTTGACCAATCACAGGGCCTGTTCTAGCAGACCACCACGGATTGTGGGTGTTTCCATGTTCAGGTGTGCTTGTTATAAATGCTGGAGCATGTGGAACGAAAACACCGCCGAAAACTTTCACTTGCAAAAATTTGATTGGCTGTGCAAAAATAAAACCATTACAGACATCAACTAGACGTTCCAAAATGTGTTCATACTGATGCGATTTGAAATTCGTCGTTACCAACTTGAGACATTTAATATTAAAGTTGGACATCAATTGCTGTATCAGTGGCGGCACCAAGAAAGCTCACTACGCCCTTATATGGGAATACTCCTGACTGATGTACATTCCTTACAAGAGCTAGTCCAAAAAATAGTTTGCATCAGGAGAGGAATTCCACAGAGCTCAAATTAACAACAAAAGAGGGGTTCAAAGCTATACAACATTTTACAGGGTTGTTGGTTGAAATTTCCCATTTGTCAAATCTACAACTTTTCTATATCAAATAAAATTGTGGGTAGAATAGAACTGTCAGCAGATCTTTGATAAGTCTTCAAGGTTTGCATGGTGAAGTGGCATAATAGAAAGTAGGTTTGCGGCAGCACCATGGACGTATCTCTTGTGTGAGTATTTGTGGTTCTGAAAAGAACCAGTGGTACTCGACATTTCGAGCAGTATGCTCTGCTTGTCATCAGGAGAATGCCGGATACTAACTGGGACTGGAGCTTAAGTAGTCTGGTGGAGGATTCTGGAGACAGGGATTAGTCCGATAATGCGTGAAGGCGGGAACTCCAAGTGCTCGAAACGTCAAGTACCACTGGTTTTTTTCAGAACCGCAAATACTCACAAAAGAGATACGTCCATGGTGCTACCGCAAACCTATTTTCTATTATGTCAGCAGATCTAACAGCAAATGAGTACGCTCTTTTTTCAAATCACGATAAGCACACAAATAATTTACCCAGTTTGCCCACTTTTTTCAGACATGCGTCAGTTAAGGTCAAAGGGCAAGACCTACCGGTTTCTGTTTTAAAAGTGCTGAGTAGGGGTGACTTATTCTGTGGGGCCCATAACCGCACCGTGCCATCGGCAGCGCAGGATACCAGTTGGTTCTTGGTGCCGTCAAACGCCAGGCCCCAGATGGTGTTGGTGTGTCCAACGTAGGTGTCTGCCAGCACACCTGAATCTGTAAACAAGTAATCAAACAAGAAACTTAACCCTAACCAAGAAGAAGCAGTACTTAACCTAACAAGTTCAACAACCACCACCTGTATCTTCATGGGATTAAGAGTAAATACTGACATGTGACTGGACAGAAACTGTTAAACGGGTCAACAGTGTTGAAGCTTGAATCATTTGGTATGGATATCGGTAGGTCTCTGCAGTGTATGGCTAACTTGTAGAGTAGTTGAACCAAAGATGACAAAATCATCCACAGGTCCAGCCATATAGTTCCACAAGCTAGTCACTCCACAGACCAACTAGCTGTGTGTTCCCACTCAAACAAAATCCAACGCCATCACCCTAGGCCTTTGAACCTGAATCCAAGAAGGCTGAACGAGTTCATAATGTAGGGTACCTAATCAGCCAAAACTTGACATCTGCAGCCGGAGTATGAGGGACTTGTGGGTAGTTAGGGTCAAAATTTGTGGCAGTTTGGTTTAATTTTTTGTCTTTAAAATCAAAATTCAAACTTTTGGCTCATGTACTCTGTGTCTCTGTGTATTCATGACAGTGTCAAGGGATATTCCCAAGGGTCTTCTTTAATGTTGGGAAGTACTGAGTTGGGGTTTATTCAGAATGACAGCCACGCATTACTTGCTGCATGCAATAGTTATCACAGTGCCTTTTTGGCACTGAAGGGGCCCATAGGATATGTCCAGTGAGATCGTAAATCATGGCCGCCAGATTCAGCTATAGTTAAACCCAACTTCCTCGAGCAGCTTGGCTAAGAATCTTCCTGAATCTTCCTCTATCCTCAGCCATGCGGCAGATCAATGGCACATTCTTCCTACTCGAACCCAACGCAAAGCAAGTGGCTTGGCTCTGCATCCATACACCTGCTAAATCCCTATCAGGCCCCGGGCAGATTTGGAAGAATCTCGGAGAGTTAGATCTTTGACTACCTTTGAAAAAAGAAAAACAAGTAAAGAGCCAACGGCAGTTGAGACAGAGATCACGTCGACTTACCGTATGAGTCATACGGATCAATGTTAGACCCAGGGATATTCCAACAGCGGATGGCTGCGTCTGTACCACCACTGAAGCACTGCTCCCCATTGCTGCTTATAACAAGGCTAAGAACGGGACCCCTGGAGGAAAGGGGAGAGGGTTCACGACATTACACAAGCCAGAAGTTTACGTCAACTTCAAATAACTTTTAAATTCAGATGGCAAATGATACTTGTCTAATTCAATTCATTCTATTTGCTTTTATGAATTTTCCGTTCAACACTGACAGATTGCATAGAGTAGCATTTAAAACATCTTACTTCCAGAACACATTGGAAATAGTCAACTGAGTTAACTGTGCAAACTCCGCTGTACAGTACACAGTAGAGTAAAACAGCCTTATTGCAGCGTTGTTCCCCCAAATGTCAACATCTGTGTTTTGGGTACCAGTCAGAACCAATGAAATCCATACACTGCTGTGGCTAGGGGTCAAGTCTGAATGCAAGCAGATGACCCAATCACCCATGAGGGAGATAATCACGGTAACAAGGGAGTAATTCAAATATGTAAATCTTATTCATGTTTAAACCTATCCTGCTGGATGCACTTTGATTACATGAATTTGGTTGGATTATGTATGGTTAGCGTCAAAATATGCCAAAGTCAAACAAATGAAGTCCTTTTTGATTTTTAGGAGTCTAAAAAGTGTGTAATACTTTTGTTTTACACTGTTGTTTTTCACAAGCATAATGGGTGTTATATTTACATCAATCAGGGCCCATACGCACGAATTGCAAAATCCTAATTCAGCGTGCTCACCGTCCAATTGGCTACTGACTGTTGATTCAGATATGAGCATGGTAGATCTTACTATACTGATGGTCTAACGATTACCATCAGCGCGGGATTTGAATGATGTCATAGGAAATTGACCACTTCCAGATTGAAAGGTGAGATACATTAGACTTAGTACTCACGAGTGTCCCCGGAAGGTGTATATCGGTTCAACGTCTAACGACGCGGCCCTGCCAAAGAAAGAATTCAGTAAAGTTAGCTTATCACTGGAAAGACTATCGGACTAAATGTTAACAGAGATCTCAGCCAAAGATGTTTCAGCTGATTATTCTGTTTAAAGAATGCAATGGTGTGCTTACAAGTTAATATTTCTAAACAGAACCGGTTTCAGACTGTATCAATGTAAGGTGCTCATTTCTTTACATGAATCTTACAATAATTCTAATTAGGAAAGAGAATTTCATCACATGATTTCTAACTTTCAAAAACCAGACAGTTGCTCAACGTTTTCATGTCATTCACTGATGATTACTAAACATGTCCATGAATATGTACATTGACCTCACATGTTTTGTTGGTTCTTACTAACACACATAAGTTACACAACTCAGTTAAACTCCCATCAAAACTTTCCAGAAACCAACGTATTACTTTTTTCTCCCAATTTATTTCCCCAAACAGGACACTCCTCCTTGGTTCCCTGTCAACCGGTATCCCTCCCAATCCTGCTCCTTATCTGCAGGATGTGTGGTTTTCTCTCCCCTTTGGCTGCCTGCCATGCAGGATTATGCTACTAATGAAAGCCTTCCTCCACCTCCCAAGGTGTCGGGAAGTCTGCGGGCTGCCCCAGTCAATTAGCATGACGTAAGGTAGATAGGCCACAACAACGGGCCCCCAGAGAACCCCAACGTTCAATCAGCTGGCAAATGACAGCAGAGAGTTCACAGCCTTCCAGAGAGGTTTCGGGACAGTCAGTTCAGAGCTTCGGTGGATTAGTCGATAATCTGCATTAGCCAGAGTAACCGAGATGACTTGGCAATTACACAGACTAAGACTAACGGCTTCGCTCCAGACTTCATGGGCTTTAAAATTCAACTACGGTTAATTAGGCTCTGCCAAGGCCTTCCACAGCCAAAGGCAAACTGCTTAAATTCAGATAATCCTGCCTTTTTGTGAGACAGTGTTTCATGGAAGTGCCTGACTCTGATTGTGAAACCGCAGAGCTTTTGAAGAGAGGGTGAAGTGACTGACTCAAGTCATGCAAGTTGTAGTTCAATTCTGGGGCTCACATACAGAGACACACAGTAAAGGAAAGTGAAATGCCAAGCAATATTTTACATTTGCACACGTAGTGGAAACTCTTTCAGTATGCAAATCATTGTAAGAATTACTTTCCAGGCAAGAGAAGAATCACAAGCACGGCAAAGGTGCACCCACTCTCGTTCCGACAGTTTCTCAGCCAATCACTAATGTCGCAGAGGAGGAGACCAGGGATTGGCCAGAACAGGCAGTCTCAGCACAAAATGTCACCGGAAAAATCCCTCAGCTGTGTGTACCCACCTTCTGGCTTAGTTTGTCTATTCTCCAAGTAAACAGTACCACAGCAAACCATAGTGCCCTCATGTTTTTTACTGCAGTAAATTTTGCCATAGCCCCTCTGCATAAATGGTCCCTAAGTTGGCACGCCTTTTACTGCATTACATTGAAGAGAATAAGCAATAATGTCAGATCCTGTTTGCCTATTCAGGTGGGGGATGTGCAGGTCAAAGATTGTGGACTTACTAGCAATCACTAGCTTATTTGAATCTCTTGAAATGGCTCAAGCAGCTTTGTTATGAAACAGCTCAGGAAAACGCTTCAAACCACTTTCCAAACTTTTGAGTGTCACGTCGAGGCCAACGCATCCAGCAAGCCAAATCTTACTTCTTAGCGGGAACCGTCTTCTGGAGATTCCACAGTTTGAGGGTGTGGTCCTCGGAGCCAGTGATGAGGACCGTTTCCACCGGATGAAACGCTAGTGTCCT